AAAAGAAAGAAAAGGAAAGTGCAAAGATTATTTTATGTTTTAAAATGGACTACTTGTTTGCTTAATTGATAAAAACTGATTGTAAGATTTGAGGCTTATAATACTCTTATAAGGGTTCTTTTCATAATAAATATTTAAGTGATAATTTTCAAGAGAAGTGCAACGTACTAATAATATTTTTAAGGCGCAATGATAAAAAAAGATTTTTCAACGAATTTCAAAATATTTAGAAATAATATATCGTAGAGCTTATAAATTAAAGATACTCGAATTTTTCAAACAAAGCCCATAATGTAAAAGAAGTTAAATAATTTCTCGTTTCATAACCTGGGACAAACGCTTAGCCAAGACTTTGACGTTTAAGCTCATCTCGTCAGCTCTTTCATGTTGTCTTCACAAGATACCGCTATAAAACTTTACTTTACGGTCTTTGAGATAAATAAGCCTGCCTTGTTTTTCAAGATAAGCTTGAAGAATTGCGATTCGGAAAAAAAACCATCTTTTGAAACCTTCCTTAAGCTTTACGGCTTTGTTTCTTGCAAACGACTGTAACATTAATATTAGATATTAATAGAAGAGTATCAAAACGTCGACGATGATCAGCGAAGTAACGAGCATGTCGCAAATTGCTAGAGAAGCGCGGCAAAGTTTCTCTTCTTGTTTTTCTGCCGCGACGTGCATTTTTTTTTATCAGGGAAACGCGAATAGCATAGTACGTGATTTATGGTGAAAATAAATATCTATTAAAATATCGATTGACGTCTTTCGGTTTTCCGATACCACACGGCGCGGTCCGGATAGAAAACACATTCAGCGGATTTCGTGAAAATTATTGTTCTCTTGTTTTAGAAGGTAAACGCGCGGCGCGGAAAAAAAGCAGCGCAAGATGCATGGAGAAGCTTTGGCGTAGCTTCAAACACAGAACATCTGAGATTTCTCATACTTTCTTTTATGTAAGAACAATGTAAAACAGATTTCTTTTTAAAGAAAAATATCTGGAAGCATTTAAGAATTTCGTTTTACAGAAATCTTAGTTTTTGTTTAATTTTAATCGTATATTTTTTTTTAAGAGCTAACGGAGCGTTAATTGACAAATATTTAAAATTTTTAAGTCACAAGAAGGAATTATCTAATAAAATAACGCTGCGATGTTTATCTCGTTCTTATTTCATTATCGCCATTGCGACGATCTCTTATTTTCTTTTTTTTATCTCTCTCTTTTCTGTCTTTTTCTTGATCTCTTTATTTGTTACAAATATAATTATTTATATAATTTTATCATGTTCATTCTTCAATACAAACATTCAATAGCATTAAACTATGGGTGTTCAGTGAACTACGTGAATTATACAAAGCGCTTTCAGGCTCGGAAAGCTTCATGCAAATCAGTATATAATGCTTTTCCCAACAACTTGAATACGGGAACATCAGTTAAATTGTAATACATTTTATTGAGATAACATTAGCGTTAGTTAAATTATTTCGGCTATTTGTGTAGCGCATTAAATAAAATAAACTAAAACAAGTGTTAGTTATAACACTTTAACGTAATATATTAAATTTAAAAATTGAAACCGCGGATTACGTGAAACGTAATAAAACAAATTATTTAGGGATCCTTTGAAAATTAATTCGATATTAACAGTTCTTATACAATGTAAGTAATTGAAAATGAAATAAATAAATATATTTTAATAAAATTTGAATTTGAGTTTATTAAGATATTTAATGAGAAACATTTAAAAAAATTATAGAATAATCACGATATTCAGAGTAGAAATTTGTTAAGAACAACTGAAAGTTTAAGACTTACGTACAATCATATTTAAAGTGGAAAGGATGTCCTATTTTTATTCTTTAAATAATAAATTTTCGAGAAATGGTAACTGAATTTGTAGGTTTCTTTTATGTTTGTATGTAGCCACATGTTCACTGTAGAGAACCTTGAATGAGAAATGTCTCAAAATCGCTACTATTATGTAATAGTTCCTTAATTTGTAAATCGGTGCAAATCATTGCGTTATTAATATAATTCCAGGAAATGTATTGAACGCGTCTGGATCGTTCATTTCGCGACGACCGGATTTGTGTTAAAGTTTCATTCGTTTCCTGCTGCCGATTTTACTCGATCTCGTGAAAAAAAAACGAGTCTTGCAATATGCGGGGATTTTAATAGAATGTCAATTATTTTTATTTATACGAAATCCGATAAAAATTGGATATTACTTCGATATTATATTGGATTATACTTTTAGTCGGAATAGAAAGTGACTATTAGAGTTTATATAAATCACGCCACTTATTGTTAATTTATTTTTCTTCAATTTGCTCCAATTCCGTTGTGTTTGACCGTTTTGAGCGTTTCAGATTTTACGGTATCTCGATAAATCTTTTTGTACGAGAATATAGCGTTCGAATTTCACTTCCAATTAAGTATCTCGATAGCGCGTTCCACGTATCGATAGCTCAGCTATAGTTTGATCGCATCTCTAATTGAATTATCCGAGATTTACGCGGACGTGAGTTCATCGTGCATACTAGACAGACATTTCTGGTTTGTAATAAAATATATAAAAATAAGAATTAAAGGTTAAAATAAAACAAAGGATAAAATATAATATTAACATAATTATATTTAGGGATAAAATAACGCAATATTAATAAAAATCTGGCGCCGATGTATAAATTACAGTAAAATTCTCAGTAAATTGATTATTTCTGAAGTAAATTATACGAAACGAAATTATACAAGTTTATTTTTGCATGTTGATGTTCACAAATCGCGCGATAATACAAATAATTCACCGTCGCGAAAAGCAACATGCGACTTGGCGCTTTCTAATTTCTGTACGCTGCCGCTGCATCTCTTCGCGGCAAGAGATTTACAGCGGCCACAATTTTTTCTCCATCCGTAGATTTTCGTGGCGAAAAAAAAAAAGAAATGGCCGCTCTCCACCTGGAACCACCTGGTGAGAGAGCGCGGCTATAAAAATTACGCCTCCGACACACGCTACAACATTGCATAAAATTACGCGCGTAACGTGACGGTCGCGGGGGGAGATACGTTCGCTTTGATTTTCGTAATGGCCTGGTAAACTAAATTTGCACAGATAAATCTGTAACTCGAATTGACGTAGGTATATCTAAATCTGATTAGCGCAACGAAAACGATATTATCTACAATTATCCGATATTATCGGTTTTGCAAAAGTCGTTTATAATAAAAGATTATTGACGATATTAATAAATTGCAATATCTAATAGCAATTATTAACAGTAATAGCAATTATTTTATTAAATATATGAATTTTGTAAAATTATATGCTTCATTTTTGTCTTTAGAGAATAATTATTTCTAAAGATAATATATATCTTTTTTGTTTGATTTTTAAAACTTTTCGTTTTTGGAACTCCAACTACTTATAATTTTTATCATGTAAATTCTGGTAACAAGATCGATAGTGAGCGCAGTACCGTTTTTTAACTGCGAGTTCTCCTCATAACTCTCCTTTGAAACGTAATTCTAGTATGGCACGTAGCCAATGTCGTAAGTTCGATCGTAAGAAACAAGTTTTGTCAGAACCAATCCAACTATTTTTACATGAATAAAGTGCACAAATAATTCTTGCGAATAGTACCTACAATAATTATAATCCTGGTTAGAAATCAACCAAGATTGATTTGAGATTATTAAACCACATTTCTTGCGATTTATTTAATCTAATTTTCTGGATTAATTAAACATAACTTTATTTTACTTTTAAAATTCAAAAATTTGATAACTTTAACTATAAATATATTAATTTACATAAATTACTGGTCTTCAGAACACCAAGACGAAGCACGTAATACATATATCATAATTACTGATTCGAATCTAAATTAAATTTGAATGCAAAATACACTTGACATACATTTTTAAGACGTTAAATTTTTCGTATCTGCAAAACTGGCTAGTGTATAGGTTTGTTTATCCTCCGCGGCGCGCACAGAGTGCCGGCGCGTAAACAAGGTCATCGCGCTATCATTCAAACGGGAACGCTTGAGCAGGCAGGTAGTGCCATGAATTGCTCCGCGGTCGTTGCGTATTACTCGAATCGCGATCATTCTTTTTAATCAATTAACTGTTGCCCGGCGCGGTACTGTCTTGCACACAAGGTTAACGTGTTGCCGTTCGCGCGGCGCGAGCCGTTTTGTTTATCTATCCGCTATTCCTCGAATACCATCATTCTTACAATTAGCAACCATTCTGTATAATTAATTAACTTTTACTATCTCGCGTAACCCTTGTTACATTCATTAATTTATTAAAATCCTCCATAACATTCGAGATTCGTACATTACGAAACTTCGCAAGTATCGAGCAATAAGTGAATGTGATTTTTCCTTTTTTTAAGTGCTTCGCAAATGAGTGTGTACGAGAATCATGGAGGAGTAACAACGAAGGAACGAAAGACTACGAGAGGAGCCAAGGAAGCAACGAACGACGATGTAGAACAACGATGGGGTAAGTCACATTTTTTTATTCATTTATTTTTTGAAGTATTAATTATTTCGAATTATAATTTCTGTATATCACAACTCTGTTGCTACACTTTACATTGCTGAATTTCATATTGTTTATTTTAATTTAGAGGTAATGGATTATAAAAAATATGTGGAGATTTATTTATATTAGATTTTTTAAATGGTATTAAAAAAATTAGAGAAAATAATATACATAGATATAAAAAATCTTACAGATCGATTGCCTAGAAATCTATGAGCGAAAACAAATTAAAAATATCCTGTATTATCAGAATATACTTAGCTAGAAGTGATTATGGTTTTTTCCAAATAAACAAGAAGCAAGCAGCTCGGATTAATATAATCCGATAATATGTCTTTGGTTTTGCAGTATTTGAAGCTCCAGACTTTCAGAGTTAGGATTATAATAACAATTATTAATTATTATTGCCGCATATATGTATTTAAAATTGAAAGAAAGAATTATATTAAAGTACGCGTATCAAATTTTTATTACATAATTACAGGCATTTACAAACAAATACAGAAATAATAGATGTACACAGTTAAACACTTAAAGATATAATCATGAAAAAATAAAGAAATTTTATATACAAATAAGCAAAAACCGAGGCTGAAGAATTCTTCTTGCTTAGAGTCCAGAAATCCGACCCGCGAAAAATAATCAGCGGTTTAATGCGGGTTAACACAATAGATTAATTTCTGTACATTTGATCCTGTCTTAATACGGAATCTCGTTGAAATTATTTCTCCTCGAGTTCTCCGCCGTTTTGTAATGATGTCTCTCGCAGAATTCTTGAATCCTCTGACATGCTTCTTCGATCATGTCGCCTGGCACGGTGATTACTAGCCTCATGTAAGAGCGATAATCGAAACACTGGGGAATCAAGATAAAGAATATAAAAGATTAATAAAATCACGTTATATTTCTGTATACTTATACAAAGTATTTTTTTAAATTAGTTTTCTTTCATGGTTTGTAGTATTAAAAAATTTTCTCTTTTGAATAAATTATTAGAGAACAAAATAAAAACATGAATAACGTGATTATGAAATTAAAGGTAAAAAAATGTATGCCTGCAATATTAACGCATAAATCTAATATTTTAAATTTTAAATTCAAAGAATACAAAGAACTCTAAAATAACAATTTATTGATATTTGTGAAATAATATGAATTCGGAAATATTACCATAAATTTTTTAAGCTCTTTAATGTAATCTATTACAGAATCTGATCAAACTTTGTCATTAATTAATGAAAAGGATTTAAATCCTGCTATTTATTCAGATCATTTCGTTGCAGCAGAACGCTTTTATTTTTGCAATATTTTCATACGATCAATATTGGCGTGGAATGTCGACATATCGTGAAAATTCGATTTCGAAAACTCGTGTATTTTTACACGGATTCGAGAGATACAATTAAAAGATTAAAAATGGTCAATGAGTTGATAATTTTAAAACGTCAGAAACGCATACCTGGCCGGGCAGGCAAAACACGGATTCTTCCATTAGCAGCCGTTGCACGAATTCCAGATCGGAATTAAATTCCGGAAAGCACGGTAGATCGATGTAGACCTGGAAATCGTTTCAATAATTTATAGCTCGTAAATTGCAATCGGTCCCACCTTACTGATGGTATTTGCATTAACGTATAAATAGCGGTCGTGCACCGACTAATTGTACGACCTATTTATCGGACGCTCGATTAACATTTACGGCTTTAGCCCGCGAGCTATACGGACTGTCAAACAATGCGCTGTGATTCTTGAAATTATGCAAGGGTGTGGCGAGGCTAATTACAATGGGAAGAATTACCATCATGTACATCGCCCCATCCGGCATTATCGGCTTCAATCCCGGGATTTTTATTACACAGTTGTACGCCAATTTGGAATGCGACTGTAACATCACAATATTTTTGTATTTTTAATATAAAATATTAATTTTTTTTTTGAGTAACAATAACTTACGTATAGAGTACGGATGACATCGTCGAAAAACTTCTGTGGCGTTTTCCGTAGTATCGTGGGCAAGGCACCTTGAATAATAGTATTGCTGCCAATTATTCGCTGGCTCAAGCAGTATAAACCTTTGCGAACCTAAGAGACAAAAATTTAAATATTTGTTAAGCTTATAACTATTTAACTTTACATAATTAAATATGAAATGATGCAACAAAAGATATACTATATACTGTCGTATTTTAATTTACGTTAAATGATCGTAATTCGTACTAGAATTTAGAAATTTTAGAATATAATTTTTATTTCTTATTTTACATATCGGTATAATACGAGAAACTCATTTATATAGAATCAGGTACATAAAATATATACAATAAAAAGACACGAAGCATTTCGGTAAACAGCAATTTCGTAAATTTATTCTATGTATTTAACAGATAAAAGAAGATAAATGTTGTCATAAATAACGTAATGCCGGCGAAATAATCATAATCTGTTGTAAAATTCATACAAATTGTTTAAAAGAAAGGAATTTTACGAAAGATTATATGTCATGCTTTTCCGTGATATTCCGAACTGATATAGAAATTCTCGACCTCGATGCTTAGTCATGTCGAAATCGATGTAAAATTACTTCCAAAAACTTGATAGTAGATATTAGATTTCATATGAACTTCAAATACCGTGAAATATCAAAACGTGCTACACATCGACAGACTTTATCAGTTTGTCCAATACTCGTCCGTGGGGGAACATCATCAAACGATCGTACAGCCTTTGAACGATCGAATCAATCTTTTCTTCCAAAGCGTGACGTGAAAAAAAATGAAGCACCGAACATGTGGATACGTGGACAAATACAGAATAAATGATGTATCTTTTTATATCTCACAAAAAAAAACAGAAAAGAAAAGAATTGTTTGATTATGTTTTAGTCGCGTTTTAGGAGTTAGGTTAATAAAATTACGCTGTTAAATCAATAGTGTCAAACTTATTTAAGTCGCTATTGCTTCTACTTAATAAATAATTATTTTTAAATAAAACAATGGAATTTAACCCAAATTTGGGTTAAATTTGAACTGTTTTAAATTATTTAACTCCATTGTTTTAGTAAAAAAGAACTATTTATTAAGTAAGAGCAGTGGCGACTCAAATAAGGTTCAATTTGACACTATAGATTTAATAGTGTACAATCTCATAGAATAGACTTTAACAATTTATAGCAAGGAAAGATTTAAGATAAAAAGATTTTTGTACTGTTACCTTTTACCCGATATTTAAACAATACACGGGCAATATAAAGCTTGTCGATTAGACTTTCCTACCACAGGACTCTGATCTTGATTACTTATCTAAGATCGCAACTTTGCAACTCCAGCGAAGTTATTAAAGAACGCAGAAATATATCCGATAGAGATGCGCGCGGCGCGGCGATTCGAAGTTAGTTCCGAGGCGATGCCGCAGCTGCAAGACGAGGAATTAAGGGCAACGATCGACCGAAGGGCCGATTGCCAAAGGGCCGAAACTTTAATGGCGGAATAAAGTTTAATCAACGAAATTTAATCCAATCCGCAGTATACGGTGCCGAACTCGCCGGGACATGCTCGGGCCTCGTTACGGAAACAATACCACCGGAGAAGCAATTATTTTCGGGCTGTCACGTATTGTGCCACGACCGTTTACCCACCTCGGCTTCCAGCACGTTCTGACGATCGTGGATTATTATCCAGCCCATACGCCAGCCTGGAACTAAAAATCTGCAAAGAAAGGAGAGATCGAAAATGGGACTATTGTTGTCAGATTCCATTTTGCAGATCGCGAGAGTTTACTTTGGCTTTTAAATTAAAGAAAGGGATTCCTATAAAATAGCATTTTTTTATATACAAAAATAATTATACAATTATACAATAATTAAAAAATAGCTTTACAACATTAGTAACGAAGTTAATTAATCCTTATTTTGATATTGAGAAACTAATTTTTTTTCATTAATTAGAAATTGTTTTTTTTTTCCTTTCGATTGTTTTATCCAAAATGTGCTTTCTATGAGTGAGCAGTCTATAAACAGAAGCTATCTTTATTGCGGCATGCTATTCTATTGTTCAGCACATGCGGTGCGAATATCGTGCGATTACAAATTTTTCTTCTAAATTTGAATACTGTTAAATAAAAAAAAATAAGTTACTAAATGTAGCCGCATTATTTCGCTTTCTGTTCAATTTATCCGGATTTATAATATTTTATAATGGGTATACCTCGTGCAAAAGCTCTCTTTGGGAACGATTTAATTTTTAAAATTCGTATTGAAATTCTCATTTTAAGATACATCAGCGATTCGTTACGTGATAACTATTAATCGTGTTACAAACGTATCGTTTACTTATTCATTGATTTACCTCCGCCGCCCGCTTTATATTTTTTTTTTTCATCTCGTATTCGCGTGTACCGCGTGCATCATTAAATTTTACATGAGAAACGCGATTCCCCGTGTTTGATATCAAAATACCGCGCGAAATCTGCGGCGTGTAAAATATACACCGTGCCGCACGGTGAAAGACTTAGCAACAAACTGTGCAGGAAACTCATTTACAACTGGTATGGCGAACGGTCGTAAATTAAGTTGCGTTTCAGATCTGATACCGTTAGAATAATGGAGGCATAATCGCGAAACTTCGGGGTATGCCCGCGCGGGCTTTGATCGCGACGTTTTATTCACGCTCAATCAACCCCCCCGCGCCCTATTTTTGAAAAAAATCGAGCGAAAAATTTTACGGCGGAGCGCTTCCGTCCCAAGGATTCCTTCCGTCAACTTCACGAATCGCTAGTTTCGCTCCATACCTTTTCCCGATGAGAGACAATAGAAGGTAACGTACTGAAAATAACTGTAAAACCCGATGCAGGGAGGGCACTGTCGGTGCTGCACCTTCCAAATTATTTTAAAATCACTATCTCATTTGTAACGTTAGAAATGATTACAAGACTTTTTCTACCATTTCCTACCATTTTCCCGAACGTTGTTTGGATCTTTTATTTTAACGTTTATAGGCATTCTTTAAATTGAATATTAAAAACATGGAAATTTATTTCATACCCTGCTGACCCTTGGTCTTGAAAAAAGCTTTTTAGTAACGCGACGTTTTGTTTCAAAGGGGTAGATTAGCTGCGAACCGTCTTGTTTAATACGTGAAAATCGTACATTATTTCGCGTGAAAATTGTTACAGAAAATCTCGTGTTCCGAGCGTCTAAATGCAGGGAGTTTTATAATCATTTTACGTTCCGACATACCTTTTAGTCAGTCCGCTGCACGACAAAATAGGAACTTCGGTCGATAGAGACGCTAACGAGTGGAAAGTCCGTCCTGGAAATACCTGAAAACAGCGGCAAAAAATGTATTTGCGTATAATTGACACGTATGTTTTGCTTGCATGCAAAGGGATGTGATAGGAAATAATGCATAAAACCGTGACTATCAGACTTCATTGAATTTCTCCGTCATTGAAGTTTTCAAAATAGCTATTGCTATTATTTGAATATAATACTTGTACGCGCTTCAAGTTATAAAAATTCACGTGTCAGATTCTTTTATAAATGATATATTTTAAATTTTTGATTAATATACTTCTTATAATAAAATTATAAATATATTCTTATAACAAAAATAAAATTTTCTCAGATAATATTAGTAGAAAAAACGACACGTTTGAAAGTGCAAAATTAATATGCTTTATTTCTCTTTACAGTTACCTATTTTTCTTTACTATTAATTATTTTATTATTATCAAATTAACTGAATATCTTATGCCACAAACAAAAAAAATTTCTTTTTGACAACCGATAACAAAGTGCAAGCGCGGTCATTCGAATTTGGGACACCGTGCATATCTATTCTAAATTAATTTCGCACCCAATTTCGTACGTTTGAACAGAACGGCGTGATTCGTGCTTTACGCAAATGAAACGATTTGTCACTTGATACTTGGGATGGTAAGCGTAATATTCGGGTACGTACCATGTGCTCGTAAATCTCATCGGCTATAATGGGTACGTAGTAACGAGCGGCGATGTCGAGAATGTCAAGTATATGGTCGCGGCTGAACACGGAGCCGCACGGATTTGACGGATTGTTTATAATAATCGCCGCTGTCGACTCGTCGATTTGCTCCTTCAGGTCGTCCAGATCGATCTCCCAACCGAGCTGCGGCTATAGAAACGATTAATATTAATAGAATGCATTCGCGATGAGCTCTCTCGTGTCTTCGCTTCCGCCCACCATTCTCCTCCATGCCACGTAATATTATGTACAAGGTGTAGGTACTCAAATACCACGCATTTTGTCTCGATTACAAGTTCTTGAACAATTCTTGACGGACAAAAATTTTAACGCGGCAAAAATGTTTCCTCGCTTTCAGCGAAACTTTTATACTAATTTTTAATTGAAAGTCTGTCACGAAACCTATATAAATGTCCTTTTCAACTTTTTAGAATTTTTATTTGAAGGATTGGTTATGTGAAAATATTTAATACTGAATATTTAATACTAAAACATCATGAAAAAAAGCTTTGGTTGAGAAAAGATTAATAAACCTGCCCAAAATATTTATAATCAAAAAGTTATAATAGGTATTGTACCAGTAAAATAATACAATGCTTTTAATACAGTGTTAAAAAATGAATAGATATATTTACTCTTCTTTTTTCATTAAATTTTATAATTTTAATTTCAATAAGTAACTCTTTAAATTTAATTGCCTAATATTTGATAATATGATTTTTATAATAGTTGTATATGTTTTTTGAATAATTTTTCAACTTGTAGATATAAATTTATTAAATGAACTCATAACGAAACTTATTTATTTTATAATTAAAATGTTACTTGGCAATTAAAAGCATTGTAATATTCCAATAATTTTTTATCTAAACATTTTTTTTTGCAAAATTATATCGCGAAAATAAAGCAACTATTTGCAATTATAATGCCGAAATAATTTTGATAGGTAATATATTTTTATTCAAAGCATTCTAAATGATATAATTTTAAAGAAACATTTTTAATGAAGAAAGAAAGAAAAATATTTGCATAAAAAATAATACAGTAGCAGTAAAAGCATAACATTTACGTGGCTTTTATAAAATTAATTGTTTATGAACCAATATACACTGTTAAATCTATAATGTTTCTTACTTAATAAATAATTATATATTAACTAAAACAATGGAGCTTAAATAATTTAAAATAGTTCAAATTTAACCTAAATTTGTTAATCTAAATTTAAATTCTATCGTTTTATTTAAAAATGACTACACGGAGAAAATTTTATTTTTTCTCTGTGTACATCATATAGTTTTTAGATAAAAATAATTATATCTTAAAAGTAGGTGCAATGGCGACTTAAATAAGGTTAAATTTGACATTATAAATTTAACAGTGTATATATTTATGGCTTATGCGATTGATATGTATAATACATAATGTATAAGCACGTATTAAGTGATCCCTTGACAATGTTGTGTCAAGGGATTACAAATTCCTTGCACAACACATTCCGTCTTATATAAAATTGAAGCTTCGGCATATTATGGTTGTAATTACTTTTAGAACGTAAAATAGTTCGCAACGACGCGCAGAGAGAAGAGCGAGATGTTAAAACTCGCCGTCAAGCGAAGCTGAAAAGAGAGGAAACCTCATTAGCACGCCGGTTTGAAGATCCCCGAGCGAAAGCACTGATTTATCGTGTAAATAGCAAAGGGTAATTTAAATATGATTTTGTGCCGTTCAAAGTCATTATGCAATGACGGCTTACGGTAAACTACTGTAAATGTTTTGCAAATAAAAATGAGAAATCTTTGCAAAATAAAGTAAACGTGATAAAATAAATTGTGTTATAAATTTATAATTAAAATTGTATATAAATTAATTCTTTAAATTAAATTACGAAATTAGCAAGTTTTAATAAAATTGTATAATTATATGTAAATTATATAAATTGAATTATAAAATTAGAGAGACTTTTAATATTGAGAATAAAAATTTTTGGCAAACTAAAAAATTATTTTTTGTATAACAATTTTTTTTTCTGTGCTGTTACACAATGAAAGAAATTAATATAACTGTACACGTTTGCAACGAAGTATTATTTTAATTAATTTATCAATAATGCTCTCGTTCTTTTTTAAATTTTTGTATGGGTATTGCATAAAAATTATAAAATCCAAATGAAATATTTGTGAATTGACGTTACTTTTTTTTTTTTTATATACGTTTTACAAACGTATAAAAATCGAATAAAATCTTGTTTCATTGCAAATTTTATTTTAAAAGGACGATATTTTCTGGCATATATCAATAAAAGAATATGTGTATAATATAATTGACATTGCTGTGCTAAGAGATTCCACCCTGTCCTCGTGCAGACTAAATAAACGGAATATTATGCACCCTCATTGTTTTTCGTAAATGAATGCATTCACGCCCTAGGTGGTTAATAAATTTAAAGATACTAACGAAATGGTATATTTTTGCATATAAAGCTGCTTACTAAGCACCGACAGTACAGCTTGAAGTGCGTTTTGTAATAACGCGTAACTTAAGAAATATAGCGGACGCTGTTATGCACGTTTCTTATTAATGACGATGCAACACGGTAGCGCGTATAATACTACCTCTCTTTTACAAGCGCATTATTACAGAGTAGCCACTACGCTGTGATATCGATCGATATTTTACACGTTATCACGGGAATATGAAACTGATGTCCATTGCGCTGTTTGTTCACAAACGCGTGACATTAAGCAAATAAATAAAAAAAGTATTAATTAATTTGATATTTCAGAAATACCTGACAGAACACGTGTAAAATATAATACTTTAAAAGGGAACATTTAAAGGATAAACTCAGAATTGCTATATTCCTGTAAAAAAAAAAAAAGAAATTTTCTCGCCATTTGACTTTGACATGCTTTTTTTCGAAATAATTATTTCACGTGTGCTCGAAACACTCGTAAAAAGAACTCCGATTTTTATATGCATAGCCGTCGAGTCATCGCGAGAATAATTACTAGAATTATAATTTGCACATTTTAGAACGTGCAGATCGTGCAGGTCACTTTGATTTCCTCTCTCGAGAAGAATACTCACACGTAAATTGTACGTTTTGACCGTAATACCAAGGCCCTCCGCCAGCGTTCGATAGATGGAAAAACCGGGGCGTGGAATTAGGATGTTTTGACCTTCTCGAGCTAAAGCCGTAATACACAAGTCGAGGGCGCAAGAACATCCACTGCACAGGATTACATCCTATGGCAAATACAGAGACACGAAATATTTTATTTCCGCGTGTTTTGCCTTTATTCGCGTCATATTAAATGTAGAATGGAAATGAAAAAAAGTAATATTTTTAAGTTAAAAAATATTTTTACGTTTCCATGCTTTTGTATTTTTTTTTTAACAGATTTACTTGATATGAGATAAAAAAATTTTCAGCGTTCTGATATTAAAATGTAAAAAAATACATTTATATGGTCAATCTAGTAAAAAAAAATTGGTACATTACTTATTGTAAGAATTTTGCCTATGGGCAGATGAATGTGATATTTACAAGTTAAGCGTAATTGCATATAGAAGAATAGCATATAGAAGATATGATTAAAAATGATATAAAAGAAAGTAATAGAATTTTCTTTTGCAGTAAATATTTTAATTTCCCTATTGTTATCCAACGCAAAGTTTTGCCACATATTTTAACAACTGTTTGGATAATTTAGTAAATTGTTTGTAAAAAAATTAGAAACTTGTTTGGTTGTTAATCTCTTTATGTATTAATAGCTAAATATATTTTATCAATATATTTTTTCTTCTATCTGTGATTTTTACAGCGCCGAAATTCACTAAATTAATTAACTATCTTTGAGATTGTACGACCATATACTACTCGCAATATGCAATCGACCACGTTGTTCTCTTTATAAAATCCACGTCGCCTCCCTTTCTTGCGGCCGAAAGAAATTTACGATGTTATTAATATTAAAATAACTTGGGCAAAATTTGACTTGCCGACTATACCGACAGTTGAATAAATAATAACAGTATTATTGTTGAATAAACGTAAGATACAGTTTAAACGCGTGACAAGAAATCTCAATGCACGTGTCAATGACCTCGAATGTGCTCGCGACACACGTGGTTAGTCGATCTACCTGCGACATTCGATATAAGCACGTGTTCTTCCTACCTTAGGATCGACTTTCACGAATTCATTGGAGCTGTACTCAGCTACGGCTTCTCGTGCCTTCTGGTAACCTGTAAAATAAGTAAAAATATATTTTTTTATATGTTACTGAATAAATATATGTATACATTATTACTTAAGCCACATTTATTAAATCTATAGTGTAAAATTTAATCTTACTTAAGTCGCCACTGCTCCTACTTAACAAATAGTTATTTTTAAATAAAACAATGGAGTTAAATCGTTTAAAACAGTTCAAATTTGACCTAAATTTTGGTTAAATTCCATTGTTTTATTTAAAAATAGCTATATTATTTTAGTTAAAAAAAAAACTATATCGCGGCATTGCTGCAATAGTGTCATATCTCGAAAAATGACAAGTTTAAATTATTTATTGGAAAAGATGGATTTTGGCGTGTACTTTTATTTGGTGATAAATAACTCAAAATTGTCAATTTTCGAGATATGACACTATTGCAGCAATGCCGCGATATATTAAGTAGGAGCAGTGGCGACTTAAGTAAAGTTAAATTTGACACTAGATTTAAGAGTGCATGCAGTGAAAAGGTCTGTTTATTAATAATTTAATAATTTCTCGTATAACAGACGCGCGTCACATCAACCTAGCAAATCAATACCATAATTGTTTACGATATTATTTAAATTATTTATATCTATACTCATTTGTGGAAAATCAATAGTGTAACAGGATGCATTTATATGAAATTTATATCAGTCATTAATAACAAGTTTGAATTTTTTCGTTATTTCTGCCATACTTTAAAATTTCCCGTAAACTCAAGATTACTTAAAATATAGAAGACTTTTCTAAAAGTCGATAAAAATTTAAGTATCTACACTTATGGATCTCATTAAAAACTACCTGTGCTCGGTGCATATCCGTTATATAATTGCGAAGCGACGCTCTCTTGAACTGCCTCGATCACTTCCTTCGGTGGCTTTAAATTACCGAAAGTTGTAGGATCGCCTTAAAACAGAATAATAAAATCTCAAAAGTAGTTTTAGAAGCTTTATAAAATGAATATTTATTTATCGGTTATCGTGCAACTGTGATTACATAAATCTCTATTATGTAAATCTGTTTTTTTTTTTACCAAACATTCGCCACTATGTAGTTTCACGTAAACACCTAATTACACTATGCATGTCGTTATAATTGATTACTGCATTCAAACTAGGATAACTGTACGAATACGCCAGTTTACAGACGCGTTGTCAAAGTGCAACGAAACACTCCACCGCACTGCTCGAATTCTGGATATAATTGAAATTAATTAATTGTTTCCCGGAGGCTATCCGCCATAGTCAATCCTTGTTGCGAAATTTCCGTTGCGGGGCAACAGAAGCGCAACGACGAAATAAAATCCGAGCTACGCGAGAATGCCACGAGATTTATGTAATTACAACTTCGCCATTGTTAATCGGGAAGGATTGCGTTTCGACGGCGTTGAAGTTAATATTTTCCGATTATATTTCACATTCCTGTTGTAGCAAATGTCAATTAGTGTACGCACGAACACTGAAATCGTTGAGTTGTGAGTGAATTATTCATTACACGTGTTAATGACATGTGTGTAACTGCATCGCATTCGAAATTTTTCATTAATTAACTTTATTATTTTTCGTTCATTCACGTGGGTATACAATACTTGTTATTATAATTATAGTTATATCAAGAAACACATAGAACAACGAAAATCGGAAAACGCGGAAACTCAGTTACATATAGAACATTTGTTCGGCGGTTTTTATACGGTAAGGAAAGCAATAAAAAAAAAGATAATGAAATGATTTAATCAGATCTGTTTTTAGGAATAAATATGTTTTAATCTTTTTATTAATACATTTTACTACGATTTTTACACATTATTTTTGTATTATTAACTTTATTAAACTTCAAAATTATATTACATTTTAGAATTAATAAAAATTTATGTGCGTTTTTTTACTGGATATAATTGTGCAATAATAAAAACATTAGCAATAATCTTTTTTAGGACTTTTTTTGAAATTAATATGTACATCTCTTTTGGATAAAGAAAAATAAGTCAAATTTCTTATTTTATATAATTCATTTTTATAATTCATGATTGGTTGATGATTTAAAGATTTAAAGCGCGCGTATATCGCTAATTAATATTATGAAACTTATAAACTGTTATACTGTTTTAGAATATTTTTTAGAACACAGCCAAATACCGAAACTTTTATCGACATACGAGACACACGCAGCGTGTTCCAGAATTTGCGCACACGGAACTTGCACGGAATTTGCACAATGCAATGTGTTAGAAGAAACAACTTTATCCGTGGCAAAATTGCATCCGAACAACAGTTTTTAAACAAAAGTAGTTTAAAGATAAACGAATAAACGCGCGCTAAGCATGAATCAGAAACGGTGCGAATTCTGGGACATCCTGTACATTTTCGATATGTAGTATCTGTATGAAAAATTCCCCGAAAAGGCTTCATTCATTTTTGTCAAAAAAAATTTTTTTTTTAGAATTTTATGTCCTTTTTGCATATAAAAGTGCAAAATATCAAGATATTCTCAAAAAAAATTTTTTTTAGAATTTTATGTCCTTTTTTGCATATAAAAGTGCAAAATATCAAGATATTCTCACGCCAATATCTTATTACATTATATAATCCTTATTTTTCTATCGAACAAAAAAAAGATCCAAGGGCAACGGTGTAACGAAAATTTTCGTGCTACTGCCATTCTATTTTCGATGCTGTAATCTTCTTCGAATTGCATATGTATGTGTAGAATAAAAGGAAACTCTTGAAAATGTATACAGCCGCTGGCACATCCGGTCGGGATTTCTATCGAAATATATTTAGATTAGCGTGCTCGTATGTCAATTCTATTCTATTCCACTATAAAATTTGCTGAGGACGTTTTTCCGATACATTCTGACACATCCGCATTCTGCGCCACTCGTGTTCTGCAAATATTAAGGGGACTCACGCGTCACTACCACCGCCTTTTAACTTTTCACCGCTTTTTAAAACTCCGCCGTGCAGTTAAAATCGCGTGTCCCAGGCACGGGAGAGGTTTAAGAAACTTTCTGAAGAATTAAGGAAGTTAAAAAAGAAATTAAAGGGAACAAAATGTACCTACAATTAATTCTCGTAGACAAACATTCTCGGTGCTTCAGTTTTATGTGCGTAACTATTCAGGACGGATTTGCAGTCCTTTTCATCTCTACTGTCAGTTCTCGGAAAAAAATTTTTTGGAAGGTTACTGATTAAAAAGACCAGATTTTTATTTATTCAATTTAACATGCTCTCTCAATATTTTATTATACCACTAAATATCAATTTTTTCCGAAAAGCGTAATTAAAAATAAAAATTTCTACAATATGCAAAATTTTTATTCGAAAACTACCGGAGCTAAAATATTTTTAAAAACTGTTATCAATTACTTACGCGATATTTAATATAAAAATAGACGTAATTGAACATACGAGAAACGTTATGTTCTTGATGCCAGCAGCTGTTTAAACAGCTTGTTTAACGTATAAACATCTCGAGGATTTTAAATTCTCAACTCTTCAATCTCGAAGATTATTTATTATTATTATTTTTTTAAGAGATTAAGCGCCGCAGGAATTTGATCGGGCCAAGTATATTGCGATTGTTTTACCGCCTCGGAAACTGTTATCCGATAAACCTCTGAAAAAGTTGTTTCCTTTAGAAATACGGCGGAGAGCCGGCAAACGAAATATTGTCTATCCTGCGTCGCGTGTTTGCGTACCAATATTTTCTAGAGCGAACTGCGTATTAAGTTTTAATACTTTTGAAAGAGAAGGGCGGAGGGAAGCTTGGAAACACAAAGTTAACTCGCATTTTTAACCGGATTATTGAAAAGAAAGTGACAGCGCGAGGTGTACGATAAATATTAATACGAATGCATGTCCCAAATTCATAAATTTCGCGAGTGTGTAAATATAGTCACGACAAGACTTAGGCAGTTGGAGTCAGGCGTAGGCGTCAAGTAAGATAATCGTCGAAACGGGTTGCAAGATGCATTTTATACGTTCAACATACGAACGAATGAAGATAAGATAGCGTGTGTAAAATATATAGTTTATTTAGCATTCATTACATTTTACGTTTAACAAAATAATTTACGTATATAGACGTGTGCGATAGTTTACTACGAGCGCGTGTGAGAAAGCACTAATAATAAACATAAATAAATTCGTTATTAATTACGTTTACGTTTAAGAAACTCAGAAAAATAATCTTATCTCGTTAACTTCTTTTAGAATGTGATTTAATTCATACTGAATATATCGATAATTCAACAATAAATCTAACAGAATGGGAACATTCCTGCAGTATGATAAAAAAAGATCAAAACACAAATATTTACGACGTACAATTATCTTTCTAGTAGAACATTTTCTTCAAATTCCATCGATACCAAATATTTATAAAAGATACTACTAAAATTTGATACGGTGATAATAGACTACTATACGTATACGGCAGTAAAAAGAGACTTGACTGTTACAAAGATGATACACGAAAAATTACATGGGTATTTCATGCGTTAAAAAAAAAATCCGAGCAGGTCGCGCATCGAACGCAGTTCGGTATTTTCAACCCAGTTCCTGCGGGACTCTGGAGTTGCTCAAAATGCGCTTTTTCATATTCTAGCATATTTCCCTCGCATGGGATATTTGACCTTCCATTTTTCATCAATCCGTCAAACTTTTTTCACATCAAGCTCTGGAGATCATGCATATTGAGGATCTAACCGTACTCAACGGGGAAACAGCGAAAGTTTGCAATTTGTATGCATTTACCTGCGTTTACCGGCGAAGCCGGCACGTGCAGAGCCTTTGTAGGTGGCCCTTTATTTGCGTAACGTTTTTCACAAAGTGCGTCCCGAATAAAATAAATGGACCTAATAATTTTATTTTTCGGCCTTACGAATTTAATCTTTTATATATTAAGTACTGCATTTAATTACCGCAATCCATTCATTTATACATCAGCGACATAAAACACAAATTGTAATTTCGCTTGGACGCACGTGCCTAACGCTTTCGCAGTAAAGAAACGCGACGTGTGTATAATCCTCCCCTTTACTTTGCAAAAAAATGATCGGCCGTCGGTTCCGCCATTCTTGTCTCGCGTTAAAAAAAATAACCGCTTGATTACACCATCACGATGGACCATCTTGTGCGTTTCTGTTTTTCTTTTTGTAGCATAAAAGGGTGGAAATCCAGAGAATCAACGGCAAATTTTGAATATTATAATACAAATGAAGTAGCGCTAGGAAATTTTTAAAAAATTACGCATTTATAATCGAATTAAATATATTAAAAATATTGCAAGAATATGTAAATTTCGGACCAGGTGTACCCTGATTTAATTTATTATTAATTTTTTCTGTCAATAAATCAAAGGATTTCTCTGTTAATAAATAAAAGTATATTTTTAGTCAACATGATTTTACGTTGTTATATGCTGTTGTTATAGTCTATTTATGTCATATCAAAATTTTATAAATGGCATGTATTTTTTACAAGTTGTTTAAAAAATTTCAATCACGCTGGTCACCCGTGACAGTCGGAACAATCAATGCATTAATGAATACAATGCTTATTTGACAATTTTAAATAAAGATTTTAAATATATATATTTTTTTTTTTAATAGAAAATATTTCAAATTTTAAATAATGATTTTATAAATTACGAATTGAGAAGTGAGAGTGTTATCATTATGCGCATTTTATTTCGTTATTTAAGAAGCAGCTGAGAACAAAATTGCTTTTTCATCAAACGAAATATACAGAAAGCTTTTAACTGCAATGGGTTATAAGTCTCCTGTGATAAAGCTCATTGTAATAAAAATGAGCTTCTGACGTATTAAAATTATAAGAGTCAAAATATATAAAACAAAAATTATTTTCTTTATTTTAAACATAATATAAAAACCCTGTTTTATTATATATCTCGCCTAGAAATAATAAAAGAGAAATATTATTATCTATTTTTTTAACTTGTAAATTTTTGAAGAAGAGATAGACAGATTTTTAAGGAAATGTATTTAAGTAAAGATTTGTCGCGTAAAATTACTTAAAAATTTGTTTAACCATACATAAATATAACAAGTTTATTTTTTAATGACTGATGATTATCAAATTTTTTATTTCAAATTGTTTAAATTCAATTTTTCTTTGTAATTGTAATTTTGGAAAAAAAAGCAAAAAATATTTGCTTATTTGTTATTTCATTTGATGAAAAATCCATATAATATATACTTATATTATAAACGAATATCTACTTCTACTTTATCGCGTCTGTACTTCTTGGCTCGATTATCTTCACTTAGTTTTAAGAAAGATTCTTCCCGTACAGAGTAAGTGTTTTGTCGCTAGACTCATGATAAGACAAATCTTACACGTGGGCTAAACTCACCAATAGACAACGCGATCATCGGCTTGTTGGGATTCGGCTCGACGATGATATTTTCTACGATCGACCTTATGGGATTGTGCGTTCGGCGAGCGATGTTGGAGGCGCAAACGTTCCAACATTCGCGGAAGTTGGGTACGGACATTTTGTCGCTCGCGAAGAAGTGCTTCTCGGTAGCCCGGTGTCTGCTAATATTTCGCCGGTGTAAATAATCAATCAGCGCACGTGTGTGTCTCCAAGGGGAACGTTTGGGTCTCTCGACTCGCTGTGTTGACCCTCACTATCGATAGGTTCTCTCACAGAGCTGATTACACTATATCGATATACGATCGACGATTCTCGCGTAGCTGGTTCTCCGTCACTGAGCCTGGATCGGGACAGCGCGCTAATAATCGAAATGCCCGGAGGCTGGAGGACAAACGAACCGGTCGGATTGGTCCGTTCGGCACCACACCTTCTTTTATAATTAACTAAATGGATTCCCTACTTATACGTAGGGAACGAGCGCCTCGAGCAACTTCGACGTAGTTGTCATCTACACGGGAACAAACAAGAGAGTGGTGTGCGTGTGCCTCTCCGTTTCTCCTTCACCTGCCTCCGTCGCACCGCCGCGCCGCGCCGGTAGTTTAGAATGTAGAACCTTAACTCCACTATCTCTATTTTGTTGCGTCTCTAATGTTTATGCAATTATACCTTGTAACTGTTTACTCCGAGTTACAGTCATGGAGATTATTCGAGCGCTGTTTCGGTCCGACGGCTACGACAACGACGACATCGCGAAACGTGCGTTCGCTCGTTAATTGAGTTTAACGCGGCGTTCCTCCCGCTGTATCTATGCGCTCGGCAAATGTCAGGGATGAATACGTAAATCAGATGCTGCGAAAAATTATTGTTGTCTGCAAAAAAAATAGACGGATACGGTCGATCGAAGAAGCATAGACGTATAAAAGCAAATTTTTTTCTTAATTGACGTATTATTCTCCTAATTTTTTACACATTATATGCTTCTATTTCGCTAATAAAGAAAAAATTGAAATAATTTAGGCTCATAGATATAATGACTTTAAATCCTTTATATTCTTTATTATGGTATAATATATGTTCATTAAACGCTGTGATATAAATTACTCCTCTTTAAGCTTTATTATTATCTTATTGTTAGACTTAATGGGTGCAATGTGATAATGATAATTTTACGTATATAACATTTTTGCGAATCAATAAAGTTAACTGATGGACGATGAACGTTTGCCAAATACCTCGATTGGAAAATGTAAATTCAAATTAAATCGTAACAGCACAAATGGATTAAATAAAGCTTCAATATTAAAGCGAACACGAAACATTCGCTCTGATATCGGTCGGCAATTTTGTCGGTATAAAGACGAGCGATATTTCTTATTAACGCATATTGACGATATTGTCGCTTATTTGGTGACAAATGTAGATAATCAATACAAGAGAAATTGACGAAACAGATTTTGATAAAATATGCATATTGACGTCCATGACGACGCGATATTGATAATATAAGTAAAGCATATAAGTTCAATAATTGAAAGAATATTTTTAAAAAATAATATTCTAATTTAAAAACTTTATCTAAGGCATATTAATGAAAAAGATTTGACCTTTGTATCTAACTTTAAGAATAAATTACTTCGTCAACATAAAGTCCTTCACGAACCAAGCCTAGATTAATCATATACGTTGCATAAATTTACACATGTGTATATCTTATTAAAATTTTATTAGCTGCATAATGCGTATTGTACATATCAGTAAAATTATAAATATATCTACATTGTAGATAAAAATATATTAATTATCTAAAGAGCTCTCAAAAGAGCAATGCAAATAATAAAATTTATAAATCACAAAAAAATCTTTTGTTCGGTCCAATGTCGATAGTCGATATTTCCTTAAAAATTTTTTATAATAGAAAAAAGAATTTTTAAAAAATTCTCTAGTTTGAGCTAATAAATTTTAAAAATTTAGAAAACATTTATAAATTTCGGATACTATCTAGAGGTTTTATTCTTATTCATATGAAAAAAATGTATTAGGTGACATACTTCAAGGTATTATTTTAAAATCTCTAAAAGTGCCAGAGAGAGAAATACATCTTAATAGTATCAATTCATCATTTGAAGCACATCTGATATATCGTATCTTTTTTTGTTCGTTTGAATCTATATTTAAATTGAAACATCCGCTCAATTTCTCTCAAATACTGATTGAACTTTTTCTCTAACAAGATGAACTATACGTAAAATAAAGAACATCGAATAAGAAGTAAAGCTATTTAAATCATAATCATAATAAGCCTTGTATTTCTTTTGTATTTTTATTATATTTCTATAATCTATATTAGCTTTAAATTGAAAAATTTAACATATTTTCATAAAATTTAAATTTTTTATATTTTCATTTTCATAAAATTTAAATTTTTTATATTTTTATACGCTTGTATCTCCAAATTAAATAAAAGTTAAATATATATAAAATATTATTTTATGAATAATTTTTTTATATATCAAAAATTCTATCAATACTTTGATATGTTTTTTATTTGCAAATATATTTTTTGTAAAATTAAATTTGTATATAGAATTTCTATAATTCTAGATATGGTTGATACATAAAATATGCAATAATATCTTTAAATTAATAAATATTACAGTTTTATGTAATATTTTTACATATTATGATAAAGTATTTTTCTGAAACTTTTATTTTTCAAAACTAATTTTATATGACAAGTAATAAAAATATCAAAATTTTTAAAAAATAGGCCATTAAAGAATCAAAGAATAGAATAGAATTTATTACTTTAGCTTATTACATCCGCCAAAAAGGGATTTACAAAAGGTCCTTAAACCACACTCATCCATCCATACCCTATTTTAAGTTAATTTCTCATCAATCCTCTTCTACTATATAGATAGTAGAATAATCTCTTGATGCGTTCTTCTTATTTCTAATCCTCATTTCTCAATGTCTTATTCTATTTACCTAAATCTACCTTAATCTTTGCTTATATACATACGTATTCATATACATATACCTTCTTAATTTATATAAAACATATGCATTTTTTTATATAATATAATCTTATTATAGTCTTCTTTATTACATATATCTGTTTTATTTTTCTATTATATATTGCCTTATACATATATCCTCTAATTTTGCTACTTCTCTCCTCTATTTCTTTCTTTCCGTAAATTCTCTAGAATTTTTCGCTTTCTTGACGTAATTAAAGAGTTTCGTTACATAAAACATGGACACATACTTATCGCGCGTAGTAATAGCAACTTTTTTGTGCCACTTAACACAAAACAAACTTATTCTCGTATTTGCTAGTTTTAATTTTACGAATTATTCGCACATCACAATTCGTGAAATTTACTTGTTATATTATCGAGGTTTTTATGTAACATTTACGGCGTTGAACAACGAGGGCGTTCTTATTAAAATAAACAGAAAGTTAGCAATGTGAATTTTTAGTTAGAAATTTTTAGTTAGAAAAATAAACGTACTTGTTTTTCTTTTCTTCATTCTCGTTGTCTGCCTGAATCTAATGGGAGACAAAATTGACTGGAAATTTACTAAATTATAGCGCGATGGAAACCTTTTTAGCGAGGCTTTCCTCCTTTCAAAATGAATCTCAGAAGGAATGCTGCGACGCCGGTTTTCGTGATGTTGTCAAACTTTGTCGAGCTGTCGGGACTGGGCCAAAATGGAATTTCACGTTTCGTGGCTCTATTTTACAAGATGCGGCACGTGTGTCGAACCAAGGCTCCTCTCGTTGGAGGCTCGACTTGCTTGCTATGCTAAACACATTGGCCTCAGCAGGATTCCTTTACGACGAACGTCTCTCCTAGCTGCGCTCTTTGAGATTCCCTCGTAAACTTTCCTACTACGACGTCAATCGATACTGAGATATATCGAACTTTTCTTCGAGACGGGAATCCTGAGTAGAAAGTAACGTGATAGCAATGATATTTCGTAAAACGTAAGATGAAATATTACCGCATTTAAAAAGGAGATAGTACGTAACGTAAAAACATATGAAATATAACTGCAGCACAAGATGTCGCTTAGAACCATAAAGGGATAAGAATTATATTGGCTTCATTAGCGCAGAGCCTGTATTTATTGATTGAAAAATACGAAAACTTCTCAATTCAATTTTGCCGTATTATGTGATTTTTATCTGTTAAAATTGAAATTTAAACGTTGATTGCGACCAGCGATACGCTCGTAAATTGGCATTTCTGTGATGTAATTTCACATCCCAAATAAATAGATTATAGTTCAATAAAGCTTTATCCTGTATAAATTTCATACAGGTTTGCTCGCAAATTAACGTTTTGACAAATATAGTACTACTGGCCGCGATCGAACACGAACTACAATTGCAATATAAGCTATACAAAATAATTTATGAGAAATTTATGCAAAAGACTTTGGAAAGTTTATAATATTTTTAGTGATCCATATTAGAATTTTACTAACACTGAAACAATCGACATTATTGCAAATAAGCGAAATAGCAAAAGTATATTTCTTGAAATAATCTCGTAAAAATATACTTTAACGCATTCTTGAAGACGAACTTTATAAAACACGTCATTTCTCATTATAAAATCTATATTCCGGTTCATCACCCCATCATCTAATTAATTTAATGGCACATTTAAATTCATGACGTCACGCGCTGAGATACACACTTCTGGATCTTTCGTAAGGAGAGGTTATTTGAATATTCATTATTCTAGTTCCTTGAAGGAGTGCGTAGTTGGTACTTCTTTGGAGGCTCGTCTCTGGTTGTTACACTGACCCCGTTGACTGACTTCGTGAAGTCTCGTTGACAGCGCTTCCGACAAAAACGTTTCCCTTATCGTATTGTTGCCAGATAAACTGACATAATAGTTTTTGTCGGTAAAATTATATGCTATTCTACGATTTAACATCCAAAGAACGCGTATAACTTTTTCCCATCATAATGTTTTAACATCATTTTTATACGCTCTGAATCTTTTTACACGTTTCTATGTAATTTTATGATTATTTTTAAAATTTTTAATTATCCTGTAAGTACAACTGATTTTACGCATTGAAAAGCACTTATTAAAATGCACATTTGTAACAACTACTTTTATGTAAAAATCTCGCCATCATTGATGATAAAGTATAATATCGAGTACTTATTAAACGATTAGGTTATCAATAAAAAAAATAGGCATCTGTATGCGTGGTTGTATTTAACTCTTATAAAAAATCGCGCGCAATTTTTTATAAATAGACAAATATGATTTATTACAATTTTGTAACGAGTTGATTTTTTCGAAAACAACGAACAAAATTACACGAAATTATTTTTTGCATTGTCAAGCTTCTTAACATTCGGGATTTGCGGTCTCAACTTAACATGTCTTTCAAAATTGGATAATACAAAAAAGTTGACAATAGAAGCAAAACTAAGACAATAGAAAAACGACAAGGGTTATATGTTTGAAAAAATAAATTCGCGTGCTGTAACTCCCTAAACATCTTTCGCGTGCCGCGTATTCTGGAGCATTCAAAATATCTTCCGCGGGTCGACTTGACGTATGCACGGGGAAATGTCGCAGTATCTCGACGGAAACTCGCGGAAGAGTGCAAGCCCCACCGTACATTACGGACGTAGCATTGTGCGCAGTTCCGATTCAATCCTCGTCCCATTCAACAAGGCGTCCGCTCACATCCTGATCGAATCCTGGCGTTACAAACACGTGAGTGAGAGGCTGTTTGCACGTAAGAAAACGAAAACATATGCTAATGAATCAATTGGCGATATCAGTCACTACGAAGTAAATAATACGCAGCTTTATATCTCGTATATTGCGTTCGCGTTCGCACCTTGATCGAAATCCGAGAAATCGGTATCGGCCTCCAAAATAAATAGGTCGACAACAGCCTGCAAATAAATAAACTCCTAACAAGCGTAAAAATCGACGCTTTATTTTCTCAAAATAAGGCGGAGAGAAAAGTATATATAAAATATATATTTATATCGTGAAGATATATATCTTATTGTGAAATTGGAATGTACCTCTTATATTTATCAGATATAAAATGTATCGATTTCTTTTTCTCCTTCTTACATTAAGGATACTTTTTTACCTTAAGGTAATTCTGGAGAAACTTGATTTTAAGTAATGTCATTTCTGTTACTTGTATTTCCCACATTTAGCCGAGTAAGGAACTAATTTGAAATAAAGGAAATAACATTGTTTCGAGGAAATCCAGAGGTTTTAGAGATAGAAATGTCACATGTATTGCATTTTACGTACTGATTTAGATCCCAATAATTACGTTATCAAAACTTAATCATCAAAGAAAGAAGTGTCCTTTTAAGGGTCAAGAGAGTATTTTACATGTTTTTTTTTTACAGTATTGTACGTGTGAAGTAAAAAAAGAAATTAAATTATAGTTTATCGTGCTCACTTTTAGAGTTTCAAACTCTTAAAATCTTTCGATTTCTGAAATGGATTTTTATCAGGTTAATTAAAGATTAAATGGTTTTTGACTGACATTGATCTTGATCAATTTCTTATAGAATTTTGCGAGCGTTTTAACTTTCTCGACACGAAGACAGCCCTTCGAAACTTTAAAGTGCCTCGCGACGTTAGTGCGCTGGCGATTTCCTTCCTTGGAAAACAGATTACCATAACGAGACGACGTTCAAGCATACCTACGCGTGAAATCGCCGCGAAAAATCGCGCGGATGACAGTTTACTTGCGTGCTGCACGAGTAAACGAATGGCCTTGCGTGTATAACAATGTGATAAACACATGCAACTTGTCTCTGGACAAGATTAACAACTCTGAGGTCTTTGATGAACGATTTAGAGTAGATTTTAAACGAAAAGACATCTTGTAGACATCTTTTTATCGCATATTTATAGATACGATAGAATTTATAAATTAATAAAAATTTGTATTAAATTCATCTTTGGAATATTAAAAATTAAATACATGCTTATGTTCGTGGAAGTTGGTAAAATATTTAACATAACATTAATTATTAATTTTCTACTTGATATTGTATTTAACATGATCTTAATTAGGTCTAAACTTTTATTAACAGGAACACGGAAAGAACAATTTTACTGAATCCAGATCTGAGAATAATTTTTTGTTCAATAATCAAAATAATTTTGTGCGAAAGTCAAGATGATTGCTAGAATATCAAAACATTTTATAGCAATAATTATCAGTTTTAACATTCCAATAAATTATTTTGATGATTCAAGAAAAAATTATTTTCAAATCTGTATTTAGCAAAATTTTTAGATCTTTGAACAAAATCTTTCTTTCCGTGAATTTGATTCAAAATTTAAAATTCATCAAATTTTGTTAACGAATCGTTTCTTTTTAGAGCTCCTTGTATTTATTATAAATACATACTTTGTGCTAGTAATTTTTATAGCGATTGTCATCTATAATAAAATTATAGTTATGTTTGCAGGCAAAATAAAAACTACTCTAACAATAGCGATTAGCCGGAATAAATTTCTTACTCTCGCGATAAAACGAATGCTCCGCGCAAAACATCTCTTGGATTCAATTAAAGCCTTGCAGTAATTATGCGCTGCGGAAAAAGACACTCGAGAAAATGTTTCCTACAAGTGGACTGGTTAAAATACACTTTTCTCTGTGCATTTTTTTTTGTTTTGTTAAACTGTGCAAAGGACATGCACAACGAACGAGGATATCAATCTGCCTTTATCGTTCGTGGAAATATTCGTGTATGCAATTAATGGGCCGATGCGAATTGAATCGCTTCTTTTTTTTAATCACAATTTCCCTCAGGGTCTATAAAAATTGTCCATTGTTTCGTACGCGAAAATCGCACTTGCGCATTATTTGGGAGACGGATGTAAACAAAGTAAAAATGAGTCAGTGAAGTTTGAAAATAGAATTTTATTAGCTACGTAGCAAAATACCTATTTATTTAAATATTTGGCGTCACACGATTACCAGGCTAAGATCGTTTATATTAATATACAATATGTAAAATGTGCCATATTGGATATGGGCAGTGTCTGGTGGTGGTACGATAAACTTAGACTTCAATACGAGATTCATACGAGAGAATATAAATATATATTATTTTACATGCTAGAATAGAGAGTACGCTATAAAGGCACTTGCTTGAATAGTTATACATATAAAAAAAAAAGAAGAAAACACATATGGCGAAAGAGAGGAAGCGCGAGGATAAAAGAGCGGGTAACGAACGTGAGTAGGATGGCACTCGGAGAAAGAAACTATCCAGGACATCGGTGTGTCCTGAGGGGGAAGAGGGAGAGGGGGGAGGGGGGCAGGAAATAATGAAGACAAGACGTGGCTGCGGAACACGTTTGAGGCAGAGGGAATCACAGGAGAGAGGGATACGTCGGTTCTCTTTATTTCTCGACGTCGTCGACGCGGATCGGACGATGTCGTCCGAACTTCCGTTCCGTCCGTGCTCTGTTCGGCGAGAGAGACGTTACCGCTCTTTTCTTCCTTGTTATCAGAGAACGGAACCGGCGCAATTCCGACAAGTTCAATTTTCCGTGCTGCGGAGAGACGCGACAAAACGCATCCCCGCGCGAATCGAATGCATTTTCATTGTCTCGTATAAACATAGAGATCATTTCCGCGTTGGAATCTCTAACGTCGAGACCATGGAACTCGACGAAATTGCATCGGTTTCAATCCGCTGCTCGTTTATACTCGTAATGACAGTTTCGCTTCTGTTCTCGTGTAAAAAAAAAAGGGGGGGGGGAGGAGGGGGGAGAAAAAGAAGTGTATTGCGTGTATGTCATGGTTGTACGTGTGTACAAGTGTGTGTGTGTGTGTGTGTGTGTGTGTGTGTGTGTGTGTGTGTGTGTGTGTGTATGTGTGTATGTGTTTCGTGTGTAAACGGTGGCGCGCACGTTTACGTATTCTTTATACAAACTTGGCAGCGACTTATTCGGGATCTAAGATTGCCCGCCTTTAGGGTCTGTTTCTCGGGACTCCTGAACTGCTGGCCGTCCTCTATGGTCACCATCCAGAAGCTGAACTGATTAGAATAGTAGTGGCAGTGTCCTTTGGCGCCGTTGCACTCGATGAACGGTGTGGCGCGGAAGTCCTCCAGGCAGGAACCGGGACTCGACAGGGACTGGCCGCCGCCCTGGGAACCTGCGCCGGTGTGCTGAAACGACGGCAAAGAAATTTATTCGATGAACGAACGTCCGATTTGCAATTCCAATTTGAATGGCCTAAAGCCACACGTGCCGAATCCGCATTTTCTTCGTTTAAATATTAGAAATTGTTAGTCAATCCCGACTGTCCTATTTACTGACTACTCAAATGTTATCGTTCAGAAATAGAGACAGTGTTCCGAAATAGATCTTCCTTTTTGCGAGAAACAATCTTTGTCTCCTGACAGCTCATGACGGAGATGAAAGTTTACCTTATTTCGAATGTGATTGATGTGAGATATTATATTCTGACCGAATATAAGCGAATTCCAAACTTAGACGAGTTAGGAGAAAAATAATTGTGTAATTTGCGAAAAACGTAATTTTGCGCGTGATACAAATTTTTTCGGTAGAGGTGTATATTTATACATTTAATGATAGACATCAATATTGTACCGTGCGATCTAATTTATTTAATATTTTACATTAACACTTTATCTCTTCTATATCATTTTTGGGAAAAATGAAGTAATTAATTTAAGCTAACTGTGATGTGAGAACTAATAACTTTTTTAACGCTTAAAAATTGTTATTTATTTTCATCGTATGGCAATATTAAATGAAAAATATTAAGTTATTTTGCATTGGCGTGCAGTGAGGAAAAAGTTACTTACCATTACAAAACTATAACCGATCCAAAGACCGGTCCATCCCGCCGGACATTCTGGAATGCTTATCGATTGACTGTGTACCGCTATCACATTAGCCGGAACCTCGCACACCACACACCTACCGCAAAAATCGCAAATTCATATAAAGTAAATCATAGACAGTCAAAAAGCAAGCTTACCTAATGTTAAAAAAATGTATATCAACTTTTTTTAAATTTTTATGTACATAAAAGAAGTCCATTCGTATAGAGAATATGGCAATAGATAAAAGTCATAAAAATTTTTCTTGTTGGCGCCGTTTCTCCGAGTAGTAGTAATGCACATTGGTCAAACTTTAGCTAATCTTGCATATTTTTAAATCAATATATTTGATAATGCGTCAGCATCGCATTTAAGAGCCGAAGATATAAAAATCTAATATAATATTATATTTTAACTATTTTTAATTAGACTTTGATTTAATAAAAAATTAAAGACTAATTATTGAGAGATATATTTGAGATAAAATATATGCTAAAAATATAATTATTAACAACGGAACTTCAAATAAAAATTAATTAAATTTGTTTTTTTTTAATTTAGCTCACAATTTGTACAGCTGGGAGAATATTCAGTTTTGTTATGCATCTTGTATGACTATTTTCTTTAAAGAAATGCAGAAACTTTTTGTACGATAGTAATAAAAATCTAGGCTACATTCAATATGCATAGTGAACATCGTAAACGTACCTGGAGATATATTCTTCTATCGCCGTCTCCTCGACGGGCATCATGGGAATTGGCCTATTGGTAGATAGCCAGTAAGAACGATCATTGCGACTAGCGTAATGGCAGACGTTGTTGACGTCGCAAAACAGGAAGGGTATCGTTGAGAATTTTCTTACACACGAGCCGGCATAACCTGTTTCATAATAATTTATGGGACGAGTTTAATTAGTTTGCACAAAAAAAAATAGAATTTCATCGTCGCTTTGAAAACAACAAATCGCAGATTATCTCGCGATCGCGATGTGTGACACAGAGGGTGGGACAGATAGAAAAAAACAAGCATGACCTGTTTTACTGAATGCAAATATGTATTAGCTTAATCGATGCTAAATAGCCCATAATTGTGCGAAAATATGTGACGCGGTGCATATAAATCCGTTGAATAATAAATTTAAGTGTCTGTTAATGCTCAAACACGAGTCGTTACAAATTAATCCAGATAATCGGGATCAATCGCGCAAACCTCCGACAAGCGTCCATAGAAAACAGGTCAAAAAGTCGCAGCAGATTTATGAATATAATCGGATAAAATTTTAATAATAAAAATCGAAACGAGAGGAATTCCTTTAAATATTGTTTTTTTTTTTTTCGATTTTACGCGGACGCCAAATAAGAAAATTAAAAATTGTGAAGATTTCGCTTTATTCTACAATAATTATTTTACATTTATTTTTAGACCGGATAAAAAAATCTTTTTGAATATTATATGTTTTAACAAATCAAATCTTATATATATATATATAATGTTGAACACAATATACACACGTATAATGTTTAAGCATTTATTTGTTAAAATATAATATTCAAAAAGATTTTTTTATCCGATCTAAAAATAAATGTAAAATAATTATTGTAGAATAAAGCGAAATCTTCATAATTTTAATCGAGTATGTATATATACATATGTATGTATGTATATATACATATACTCGATTATATATAATGTTTAACACAATTCAATTCGCGAGATCGGTCAATGATTTTAACTTGATAATAAACTTTTAATATTGTGTTTAATACTATGATATTATTCTGAGTTAATTAAGAATTGCGTCGAGACCGAAAGTAACGACGCGCAATTTGTAAAACTAGAAAATGTATATAAAATCACATGAAATTTTATTGAACATCAAGATCTTGCTATGACATCATCAGCCGATCTCGCGAAAATAAAATCTTATTTTCTATATAATACAAGGCTCACCTAAGTCTTGCGAGTGCGCTCTCTCGTCGCCGTCGGTGTAGAGCAAACTGTATCCCTCCCAGAGTTTAATATGACCCGGCTCGCAAATCGGCAAGCTTTGACTTTGGCTGTGCTTGACCAGAAGGATACCGGTCAGATAGTCAGGTGTCGTTTCGCAGGGTGCACCTGGCTCGCCGACAAGTCCTGGCGCACCGATGGGACCTTGAATACCCGGTAAACCTGACACACCGACAGGTCCAGGCATTCCCGATAGCCCAGGAGGTCCCGGTGGACCGATAAAACCTTGGGCGCCCTTAATGCCGTCTAAGCCGGGGAAACCAGGCGGACCCGGAAGTCCTTTCTCTCCCGATTGACCAGGCGGTCCGGTCGGTCCTACGAAATGATATTTACGGTTTCATATGCATCGCTTAAAATAATTTATTAATTAAATCTGAGTAATATATTAGTACGTATACTCGAGCTAAATAGGAGGCATAACAGAAAATTTTATTTTGCGTTATATTCTTTATATTCTTTATATTGCGTTTATATTCTTTAAAACATTTTTTGCGCGTTGCATGTATTCAAACTAAATTTTTGCACATTTTCCAATTTATATAATGTAAAGTAGATGTATATATAAAAATTACTGTAAGCATACCAGGATATCCGCGATCTCCTTTAGGTCCCATCGGCGGTTCGAGACAGTCCTCACCCCTTTCACCTTTCGGACCTTCGCGGCCAGCGATACCCATTAATCCAACTGCACCAGGATATCCTCTATCACCCTTCTCGCCAATTAGTCCAGGTTCACCATTTAGACCATCCCAACCTTTGTCACCTTTTTCTCCTGGGAAACCAGCCACTCCACTTGGTCCTAAAAACGAATAATTAAGCGGTCATATTATCGTCCAAGATATAATTATAATATAATTTTCTTCGTCGTTTTAATACGATGGGTAGAAAATATTTTCTTTAATAATGGAAGGTATAATATAAATGACAAAAAAAAACAGAAAAGAATAGAAGAATAGAAAGGCATAATATATATAAATGTTAGATCTATACATTTATAATTACTTTACCGAGGCTTAAAATTATTGTATATTTAATAAGAACGTTTATGTATATATATTACTTAAAAGTGTATACAATTTAACTGCAATATAAATATTATATATTTAAATATATAAAAATAAATTTTCTCTTTGTAATTATAATAGTTATAACTTTTAATTAACATAATAATAGATTTTTAATTAACTCAAAATAAATATAATAATTAGTACCTGGTAAACCGGGTTCTCCCGTTTCTCCTGGAGCACCAAATAATCCCGGCGGTCCTTGTTCACCTTTCTGTCCTCTATCACCAGATAAGCCCGGTACACCATCGAGACCTCGAGCTCCCTCACGTCCTGGAAATCCAGTCGGACCCTGTAGCCCTCGATCTCCTTTTTCACCTTGTGGTCCAACTGGCCCGTAAGGACCAATGTCTCCTTTTGGTCCAGGCAAACCAGGCAATCCTAGTTCACCTTTATGACCGGGTTGTCCTGGAAATCCGTCTCTACCGTGTTTACCCAACAGACCTGGCAAACCTTTTTCGCCCTTTACCGTAATTCCAGGTCCTCCAGGAATACCAGGAGGTCCTTGTTCGCCTACATAAAACATATGTTTTATAAATATGCATTAAAAAATATTTATTATCCATAATATATAAATAATTATTATCCATAATATATAATCCATAATATATAAAGAATTACATTTCATAATAAATATTTTTTGCTATTATACAGGGTGTCCCATTTTAAATAATGCATTAAATTTTTTTAAAAACTATGATACAAAAAAAAGTTTCAAGCAAACAAAACAAAAGTTGTTTGACTTCAAGGAGGACATAAAATGGTATCACTGGTTTGACCTTGGATGGCGCTATCAAAATCAGGGAAAGGTCACTTTAAATTTTTTAAATGAAATTCCCCATTTTTTTATTGCATATTCTTGTAGCTTATTTCGAGAGCTTTCTAAAATACAATAATAAAATATTTTTTTTCCCCTTGAAGTCAAACAACTTTTGTTTGAAACATTTTTTTGTATCATAATTTTTGAGAAAACTTAATGCATCATTTAAAATGGGGCACCCTGTATATATTTAGATTAAAATTTGTTTATTATTTAAAACATTATATACAAATGTAAATAAAAAACACACCTTTTGGTCCGGGAGCACCTAAAGATCCAGGGGCTCCCCCCAATCCAGATAGACCTCTATCACCCTTATCACCATCATAACCAGGCGTACCTACTAAACCTCGATCTCCTTTCTCTCCTCTTTCGCCAGAAAGTCCAGGAATACCTGGCTCACCCTTCTCACCCTTAATCTGGATTGTAGGTCCCGGAGGACCACGATCTCCCTTTTCTCCAAGTGGTCCAGATATACCAGGCAATCCGATAAGTCCTGAAATTCGATTTTTGTTTGACATGATAGAATTGTTTTACATATAAATCTAATTTTTATATAATGATAAAATATTAATAATTATTTTGCATACAAAGTACAATATTGAATAAAATTATTAAGATAACGATTTACTTCGCGTTTTATAATTTTAACACATTAATAATTAATTATACAATAATGATAATTTAACAGAAATAAAATTTTTTTTCAAATGTCTTTGTATTTATGTTAGTACTAGTATTATAGTGTGATCGATGACAATTTACAAAATTTGAAATTGTAATTACCTGGTAAACCGCGGTCTCCTTTAACACCATCGAGACCAGGTTGTCCAGGAGGACCCATTTCACCATCAAGTCCAGGGTAACCAGGTACTCCCGATGGCCCGATATCGCCAGGTTCTCCAGGAAGTCCATCTATGCCGGGCGGACCTGGTTCTCCGGATCTACCCGGTGGACCCTAATAATAGCAATAAAAAGAAACAAAATTATAATTTTAAACAGAGAATTTTTAATTACACTTTCGTTTTAAATTATGGAGACTTACAAAGTCGCCTTTTATTCCAGGGAATCCTCGTACGCCAGTATCACCTTTTTGTCCTTGGGATCCTGGCAATCCATCCCGACCCAGTATACCCGGCTCACCTTGTGATCCAGGTAATCCGTCTTTGCCGTAACCTGGTAAACCAGGTTCGCCCTTCAGTCCATCAAAACCATCTTGTCCTGGAGGACCTGGTAAACCTCGTACTCCAGGCATTCCTGGCTCACCTTTCTGTCCTTTTTCTGAGACTTGTCCTGGTTCTCCTTTCCTTCCCTAATTATACATGAATTACACATCGAATAATACGAATATATCTACAAATATAATATAATATATATAATTAATATTATAAATTAAATATAAAAATCACAATTAATATAAATACATCTACAAATATAATATTATATACAGGGTGTCCCATTTTAAATATCGCATTAAAATTTCTTGAAAATTATGGCAGATAAAAAAAATGTTTTAAACAAAAATTGTTTGACTTCAAGGGGACATAAAATAGTACCATTTCCTTTCCTAATTACACATGAATTACACGTCAAATAATACGAATATATCTACAAATATAATATAATATATATAATTAATATTACAAATTAAATATAAAAATCACAATTAATATAAATACATCTACAAATCACAATTAATATAAATACATCTACAAATATAATATTATATACAGGGTGTCCTATTTTAAATATTGCATTAAAATTTCTCGAAAACTATGGCAGATAAAAAAATGTTTGTTTAAAAAATTTTTTTATCTGCCATAGTTTTCGAGAAATTTTAATGCGATATTTAAAATGGGACACCCTGTATATAATATTATATTTGTAGATGTATTTATATTAATTGTGATTTATATTTAATTTGTAATATTAATTATATATATTATATTATATTTGTAGATATATTTGTATTATTATTTGACTTCAAGGGAACATAAAATAGTACCATTGGTTTGACCTTGAATGGCGCTGTCAATGTCAGAGAAAGGTCACTTTGAATTTTTTAAATGAAACTCCTTATTTTTTATTGCATATTTTTGTAGCTTATCTTGAGAGCTTTCTAAAACACATAGATAAAATATTTTTTTATTAAATATAATAAATCTTGATGGACACCTTGGACAATGCTAATGCTGACGATACTTTCAAGCTTCATAACTCAAAATTCACTTAATAAAAAAATATTTTATTTTTGTGTTTTGGAAAGCTCTCGAGATTAGCTACAAAAATGTGCAATAAAAAATGAGGGATTTCATTCAAAAAATTTGAAGTGACTTTTCCCTGACCTTAACAGCGCCACCCAAGGTCAAATCAATACCATTTTGAAATATCTTCCTTGAAGTCAAACAATTTTTGTTTGAAACATTTTTTTGTCTCTGTCATAATTTTCGAGAAATATTAATGCGCTATTTAAAACGGGTCATCCTGTATAATTATGTACATAATACATATAAATTAATAATTTTAATAATTTATATAAATTAGTAATTTTAGAACTGAAAATATTTAAAATATTTACCGGTGGACCCGGTGGACCCATATCACCCTTAAGTCCTTCATAACCCATGATTCCTGGTAAACCATGCGTACCAGGTGGTCCCCAATCTCCTTTTAAACCGGATATACCAGGACGACCAGGTAATCCGTCCATACCTGGTAATCCAGGGAATCCTGGCGAACCTTTCTCACCGCGTTCACCCTTAAAACCTGGTTGACCTTCACTTCCGGGTCTACCTGGAGGGCCATGTGGTCCTGGTTTGCCGGCAAATCCTTTTGGTCCATCGACACCTAGTTCACCGCGGTCACCTTTTATTCCTGGGAATCCAGGGATACCTTGTCTGCCTGGCTCTCCTATTAATCCTCGCTCGCCTTTAAATTAAACGATTACAGTTAATAATATAAGACAATTTATTTTACATAATTACATTGCTAAATGTAGCAAATTATAAACGTGAATTGTTTTCTCACCAAATTTTTTTTTTTAGGTGTGTGAAGTTGGCATCCCTAAATGCAAATTTTGACAAAATCTATATGGCAATAGATTGTCTACAATTTTTTCATATTTGTCCAATAATAATAATTTTTTATCTACTCTTGGAAAAAATTTCAAAAAAGAAAAAAAATTTTAACGTAAACAGTCTTAAGTGCATTTTTTAAATAATTATATACGGGATTTGTTTGTCCACAATTTGTACGCATTTGTCTAACAACAATTATTTTTTGTCCACCTTGCTACAAAAAAATTGATCGATTTTCTGCAATCGATTTTCTTGCAATCGATTTCCATATGTAAATTACAGATAAACGCACTTATGAGTGCTCGTGACAAAGTTTGCTCTAACTTTTCATTTGTTTATAATTTCGTTTAGCAAGGTGGATAAAAAACAATTATTTGTGGATATGTGCGGACAAATTGTAGACAATCGAATTCCGTACGTAATTTGAAGATATATACACTTATAAGTGTTTCTGGCAAAATTTGCTCTAACTTTTTATTTGTTTATAATTTTTTGTAACAAGGTGGACAAAAAATGATTATTGATGGACAAATGCGTACAAATTATAGGCAATCGAATCCCGTATATAATTTAAAAAAAAACGCACTTAGGGGTGCTTACGTTAAAATTTTTTTTTAATTTTTTCTAAGAGGACAAAAAATTATTATTATTATTATTATTATTGAACAAATATGAACAAATTGTTTGGACAACCTAATGTTATATAGATTTTGTCAAAATTTGCATTTAGAGGTGTTAACTTCATTAACCTTTTGTTTATATAACGACTTAATTACATATTTTTAGTTATCGCTGAGATGTGTAATTCTTTATTATGTTATACCTTTGATTCCATCCGTTCCAGGAATACCAGGAACACCTGGAGGACCAGGTGGGCCAATTAGACCTGTGTCTCCTTTCTCACCAGGTGCTCCTGGCAAACCATTTATTCCCGGTGCGCCGATATCTCCTTTCTCGCCATTAAAGCCTGGATATCCCTGATTACCAGGTGGACCTTCTTTTCCTGGTGGTCCAGGAAGACCTTTCTCTCCTTTTTCACCCGGAGGACCTGTTAGACCAGGGCTACCTTTAACTGATATTCCAGATTCGCCTTTATCACCCTTTGGAGCCGGAGCACCCGGGAAACCTCTAGGTCCTTCTCGACCAGACTCTCCTGGGAAACCCATAGGACCCATGTTACCCTTATCACCACGTGGACCAGGTAAACCTCTTGCACCCACAGGTCCAGGAGCACCGATTGGACCAAGTGCACCAGGTGCCCCCTTTTAAATTTTAAATTGCAACATTATACTGTGAATTATATTTTTTCTATAATTGATAATAATTAATTAATTATTTATGCACTATTTATTGTTTTTATGTTATTTATTAAGTCAATATCATCAATAAAATTATTAATTTATTATATATATATATATATATATATATATATATATATATACATATATAATACATATGTATGTATATATTAGGATGGACCAAAAATTTTTTTTTTGTAATCGATTTAAATACCACTCAAAAGTTGTGCATCTCAATATGATCTAAAATTTTTTCGAAATTGATTCGAATATCTTCAGGTTTCTCCTCGAGTATACAATTAATAAATTTATGCATTTCTTTATGAATGTGTCAACATTCAAAAAAATACTTGAATTTCAATACAGTTTGGTATTACCTGTTGTTTTTCGGTTGCTGAACACGAATCCAAAATCAGAAGTATACATTTCAAAATATTGGATCCAAAATATATTCATAAATAATAGATTTAAGATAATAGACTTTAGATTTCTCGAAAAATATGATAGATACAGAAATAAGTTTCAAATAAAAATTGTATGGTTCGAAGGGGAACATAAGAAAGTGTCATTGATTTTATTTTGAGTAGCGTCATTAGGATCATATTAAGATCACATCGATTTTTTTTAAAAGAATTATATTTTTTTTACATAATACGATTCCTGTAATTATTCTGCATATAAAAATATTAAGTTAAAGTTATTGAAAAATCAATATTTTACGAGATATTTTATACTTTATCATGCCATATTTCGATATATAATATGAAATATCTGGTAAACTATTGATTTGTTGATAATGATATCTAATATTTTTAGATACAAAATAATAAAATAAATTGATTGGTGCAAAGAAAACACAGTTGCTTTAAAAAAATATGTAATTTGCAAGAAATGCATAAACATGCTAATTTCAAAATCGAGGATAGCCTAAAGATATTAATCGATTTCGATGAAATTTTACCAAAATCATATTGAGATCCATAGCTAACTTTTGGGAGGTAATACTAATTGATTTTCAAAAAAAATTTTTTTTGGTCTACTCTAATATAGGGTCTTTAAAAAGTTCGGAAACGATCGAATGTCTCGGAAACAAAACATTTTTGAGAAAAATGTTTGAAATAATAGTTGTAGAGTTTAAAAAAATCTATCTTGTGATCACATCCGTTTGATCTTGGGTGGCGTCGTTAAGGTCAGGAAAAGATCTTTCAATTTTTAAAATGAAACTCCCCATTTTTTATTGCATGTTTTTGTAGCTTCTCTCGAGAGCTTTCTAGAACACTATAATTAAATATTTTTCCATTAATCACTTTTTGAGTTATAAGGCTTGAAAGTTACAGTACTATTGTATTAACATTATCCAAGGTGTCCGAGCAATGCTTGAAACCTTTTGAATGTTGTTCAGGATCATGAGCTTGACAACATGTGTCAAGGTCATGATTATTATAACTTGAAAAGTGATTAATGGAAAAATATTTTATTATAGCATTTTGGAAAGCTCTCGAGAAAAGCTACAAGAATATACAATAAAAAATGGGGAGTTCTATTAAAAAAATTTAAAGTAATCTTTTCCTGACCTTAACGACACTCACAAGGTCAAACGGATGTGACCACTAGATAGATCTTTTTAAACCCTACAACTTTTGTTTTAAACATTTTTCTCAAAAATGTTTTGTTTTCGAGATATTCGACCGTTTTTGGACTTTTTAAACACTGTATATATCTTACGTAAAATTATTCTGACGAAAAGAAATTTTTTTTTATAAATTTTGTTTATTGATACACGTACCGAGAAGCCTTGCAATCCTTTATCACCAGGTAATCCATCTAATCCAGGTGGTCCAGGTTCTCCCTTGTCACCGGTTAAACCTCGATCACCTTTGAAGCCTTTCGTAAGATCCAGTGGTGGACATTGACCTGGTCACAAATATAATTGCAAATATAATTTTTAATGTATATTTATAAACATATTCTTAAAACGTTTTTAAAGTAAATAATATAGAAACTTTTTAAAAGATATTTAAGAATTGACAAAGTCTTACCAGGTTCACCCTTAAACCCGTATAAACCAGGCTCTCCTTTCTGTCCTGTGAATCCCGGTCGACCTGATTCTCCAGGTTCACCTTTTATACTTAATCCTTTCTCGCCCTTGCGTCCAGGTACGCCTGGAGTTCCTGGTACACCAGCTTGTCCAGGAAAACCGCGATCTCCCTAAAAGCGACGAATTTGTAATTTGACATATGAAAAAGATTGAACAAAAGAGTATTAATTACTTTCTTAAAATTAAGGGGTCATGCCTTGAGGCTTCAAAATGATACCTAATATTGGGATTCTTTGTGGGTAAATAAATAACTTTATTTAAAAGCTGTTTAGAGGACATTGTTGTACATATATAAGAAACTAAAAAATATATTTTTTAATTTTTTTATGTATAAAATGACGGCCCACTAGTCTACTTGCGGAATCCCTTTTTTTTTGTTTTTTTCAAATCGGAGTACAGGATTCCAGGCACACGGTTTGCTCTTGCAAAACAAAACAGAAAGTAAAGAATTTTCATTATCTACATATTAAAGACTATAGAAGTACGTAGGGGTTTTTTAAAATATTGATTTTTCTCGAAATGGCAGCTATTTTTACGAAAAGTTCGTATTTTTGTCAATACAAGTCTTTCATAAAATAATTGCCATTTTGAGAAAAATTAATATTTTGAAAAATCTCTTCGTACTTCTCTAATCTTTAATATGTAGATAATGAAAATTCTTTGTGTTTGTTCAAGATCAAACCGTGTGCCTGGATCCTATATACACCGATAGAAAAATAGGGCGCAAGTGTAGGCCAGTGCGCCGCCATTTTGGACATAAGAAAAATAAAAAATATTTTTCATATATATGTACAATAATGTTTTTTAAGCAGGTTTTAAATGAAGTTATTCATTTACCCATAAAAAAATCCCAAATTTAAGGTCACACAAATTAATCATTTTAAAACCTCGAAAGTTGCATAAGCCCTTAATAAAAATAATTGATAAATTAATCTTACCGCCGTTCCTTTTAGCCCGGGGAAGCCTCCGAGTCCAGGATTACCCTTTTCTCCCCTAGCTCCTTCTGGTCCTAGCGGACCTTGTCGACCAAACTCTCCAGGTTCTCCTTTATCACCTTTTTTCACTTTAAGCATATTCTCTGTTACGATAGCTGGAGTTCCTTGCTCTCCTTGAGGTCCTGGAGCACCGGGTATACCATCTTTTCCCTTATTGAAAAATCGATACATTTATTTGACAATTTTTAATTGCACAAATATACGTATGTCTGTGTAATTTTCCGTATCAAAAAACAAATTAATAAAAATTGACTTACCGGTGGTCCTGGAGATCCGGTTAAACCTGGCACACCATCCGCTCCAGTTTCTCCAGGAAAACCTCGTTCTCCTGGTGGCCCTCGAAGACCAGATTGTCCGGGCGCACCATCAAAACCGCGATCTCCTTTAACGCCTTGTAATCCCGGTAAACAATCTGAACAATAACCGCCGATATCGCCTTTCTCTCCAATCTCTCCACGAAGACCTGGTATACCGTCTCTTCCTGGCGTTCCGGGTTCTCCGACCTTACCCGATATACCCGGTACTCCTGGAATACCGTCTAGAGAGTCTCCTGGTAAACCTCGAACACCCGGGTAACCACGTTCTCCTTTTTGACCTTTTTCTCCATCGTAGCCGGGCGTTCCATCCATTCCTTTTGGTCCCTATATCAAATATAATGTTTCAATTAATTTTTAAACAATAATTAATATAATAGTTGCAAGATTATGCGATTTTACCATTATTGATAATCCTTTTTCTCCTAGTGGCCCTCGCTGTCCCACTGCTCCAGGTGGTCCATCGAATCCACGTTGTCCTGGACTTCCAGGGAATCCAGTCAAGCCAGGCTCACCCTTTGCACCTTTTTCTCCTGGTAAGCCTTCTGGACCTGGAATTCCAGACAATCCGGGACCTCCTTGTAAACCTATGGGTCCTCTTGGCCCTGGATCTCCTGGATAGCCGTCTGTTCCTCGCGGTCCAGTAGGCCCTGGAAAACCACGTGGTCCTTTCGGACCTGGTGGCCCCGGTCTTCCTTTACCACCCTACAACGTGATATTTAATAAAATTATAATTTCAGTTTTAAGAAGTTATGACACCCCTGAGGCCTCAAAATGATATCTAAGTTTGGATTTTTTGTGGGTACGTAGATAACTTTATTTAAAAGCTGTTTAGAGAACATTGTTGTATACATACATACATATAAGAAACTAAAAAAACTATTTTTTTATTTTTTTATGTACGAAATAGCGGCGCACTGGCCTACTTGCGGAATCCCTTTTTTAATGTTTTTTCAAATCGGTGTATAGGATTCCAGCCATACAGTTTGAACAAAACACAAAGAATTTTCATTATCTACGTATTAAAGACTATAGAAGTACGCAAGAGTTTTTTAAAATATTGATTTTTCTCGAAATGGCAACTAATTTTACGAAAAGTTCGTATTTTTGTCAATACAACAATAAATCTTTCGTAAAATACCTGCCATGTTGAGAAAAATCAATATTTTGAAAAATTCCTACTTCTCTAGTCTTTAATATGTAGATAATAAAAATTGCTTGTGTCTTGTTCAAGATCAAACCGTGTGCCTGGAATTCTGTACAGTGTACATCGGTAAAAAAAAGATATTTCGCAAGTATAGATCACTGCACCGCCATTTTAAACATAAGAAAAATAAAAAAATATTTTTTTTATTTCTTATATGTATATGTACAATAATGTCCTCTAACAATAAGCAGATTTTAAATAAAGTTATCCATTTACTGACAAAAAATCCTTTAAGATATTTTAAAACCTCATGGGTATCATAATCTTTTAAAATAGTACTTTTACAAAGAGCTTCACATGTTTACGTAAGCGTTATGGAATTAAAAATAATATATTATAAAAACAATTATTTTTAATATATATTAATTTAATAAAAAAGAATTACGAAACTTACACCTGGTGGACCAGGAGGCCCTCGTATACCTGCAAAACCCATAGGTCCATCTCGACCGGGTTCTCCTTTTTTACCGGGTCGTCCAGAAAGTCCTTCCAATCCGTCAATACCTCGATCACCTTTTCGTCCAGGAGGTCCGGGAGGTCCAGAGAAACCATCTCTACCCTAAAATTTAAAAAATTTTAAGTAATATTAATTTATTTTATTGACATTGTGAAAAGAGAGAGAGAGAGAGAGAGAGAGAGAAAAATCTCTTTCTCTTTCTTTATAATTTCAATAAAATAAATTAATATTATATATATATTTGAAACATTTTTCTATATCTAAAACAATTTTCGAGATACATATACATATAGTATATATAGTATATACTAGATAGTATATATTATATATATAATAATTATAATAACTTAATTATAATAACTTTTTAAATTAATGTACTTACACGAATGCCTGGAGCACCTGGAAGACCCTTCTCTCCTTTCTGACCTAATCCTCCAGGTATACCATGATCACCTATGAATCCTGGTTCTCCTTTTTGTCCTTCCGGTCCCATTTCACCCTAAATGTTACTCCAGTTAGAATATGTATAATATAGAATTTTGCATAATAATAATATAATGCAAAAAAATATAATAATATATACATATATAAAATAATAACAATATAATGCAAAAAAAAACAAATAATATTTTCCTACGTACTTTATCTCCTCTTTGTCCCGATTCTCCGGGTGGACCTATTACATCTGAGGCTCCCTCGAACGGCATGATGGGCGCGGTCGTACCTGGAGGCCCTGATTCACCCTTCTGACCTTTGTCGCCCTTTAATCCTTCAAATCCAAGACCCATGTTTCCTTTTTCTCCTTTTGGACCTGGTATTCCAGGAGTACCCTGAATTTACATATATCAGTTATATTACATATAATAATGTATAAAAATATTTTGAAGCGAAAGTTACATTTTAATAATATTCAGATAATATTTGAGCGATATTTACATAGGGACCTCGTTCACCCTTCATGCCAGACGGACCACGCTCTCCTTGAAAACCGGGGGGACCGGGGGGCCCTCTTACACCATCCAAACCAGGTTCACCTTTTTGACCTACCGGAAAAGCACCAGCATATGCTGGCTGACCCTTATCTCCTTTAGGCCCCGGTGTACCTCGCAAACCGCGAGGTCCTGGTTGTCCAGGTACACCCTTACGCCCGGGTTCACCCTAAAAATATAATATATAAATTATTAATGATATAATAACATTTTAATCCATTTTATTAAAGTTATCGTAAAATAATTGTTAGGTGATAATTTTATATATGAATTATGTAATATATTTTGTACTATTCCTATAATTTTCTAATTTCCATATTTTTATGTTTAAAGCATGAATATATCTGATAAAATAATAAAGTTAAGCAAATTAAGAATTAAAATATTAAGATTTTCATGACTTAAAAAAAATACTTACATCCGTTCCGTTGCAACCATCACGACCGGACAAGCCTGGAGCGCCCGGAGATCCTTGGACTCCAGGCACACCGTTTATACCAGGAAACCCAGGCATACCCATTTTTCCCTTTAATAATATAAAATTATTTTTTTGAAAAAATTAGACATATTATAATATCATGATCTCTCATTAAAGATACGTACTCTATCACCTTTCGCACCGTACGGACCTTGCGGACCGGGATCTCCCTTCTCTCCTTTGGGTCCTAGAAGACCTTCTGCTCCTGGAAATCCCCGTTGTCCCTTAGGACCTTGTGGTCCGATTATTCCTGGTGGTCCCTTAAATAAGAATATAAGAAAATCTAAATTATAAGTAGTTAGCATTTAAAACCTTGAGTCACGTATAAACATGCTATTATGTTTGTCCGCATAAAATATTGGTTTTTGAAATTTAAGAACTTTTTTTTAATTCATGCATTGTGCATCAATATTTATTTTATATTTTCAATCTTTTTTTCTTTTTTTAATTTGTTTACGAGAAAATTGTTCAAAATAAATGAAAATATTCTTTTTAAAATGAAACAAACATGTAGAAGATTGTATGTTAATTGTATAAAAAGTAAAGTAAAATGCAAGATTGTTCATCTTCGCAAAATTCATATTTGAACATTATAATTATCACTTTAACATTTTTGATATTTTATTGTTAATCTTCAAAGAACCAACCCGCGATCCCTTCTCGGCAAAACACTTGGGCGCGCAGCATCCCGATCCGGTGCAGTTTCGTGGCGCTCCAGGCATCGGTACCACCTGGTAATTGCTCGGATAATTCTCGTCGTCCCCGGCGGCACCATAACCCCGCCCGCTATAACCATGACCGCTATAAACGTCACCGCTTCCACGACCGCCGCTGTAAACAGATCCACTTCCGCGACCGCTACTGTAAGAATCTCCGCCCCCACGACCGCCAACGTTTCCGCTTCCACGGCCTCCGGGATAGGTATCCGCACCTCCCGCGCCAAAAGAATCATCAGAACCACCTTGAGCGTAATTATAAGAACCTCCTCCTCGCTCGCTTTCGCCGGCACCTAAAAAAAAATTACGAACGATTAAAATTATCCAAGCGATTTGTTGAACAGATAAGTTAAATATAAATACACATCTACATGTAATATACTTTTCTGAGAATATTTTTATAAATTTGTAATGTTAATATTCTAACTGCATTACACATATTGCTTTAAACATATCGAAAATTAGAGAAAGATACAAGTAAAAACATTTCTACAAAAAGATAATTTAATTATGTAATATTTTAGAATACAAATTGTTTTCTGTATAATTTTTTTTTATATATATTAGAAATGATTTAAGACATTTATTTTACATTTTTCGTACATCTCAGAATATAAAACATGTTACTTTCTACAATTTGCAAAAACAAGACTAATTACCGCTGTATGTATCGTAATCGCCTGCAGGATAACCTGGATAACTTGGTCGACTTTCATCATTTCCGGATCCTGACGCACCGCCGCTGTCAGGATACCTATCGTAGCCCGACGTTCGATCGTAAGCTCGCGGATCGACAGGGTAATATTGACTGTGAGAATCGCTTCTGTTTCTGTAGAGATTCCACTGCCGAGTCCTTTCGTCAGGATTGTAATGGCCAGCTGCGTAACTGCCGTTCCGCCTTTCCAAATCCTCATTTCCTAGACATGCCAATCAGTGAACGTAGTGTCGGAATTTCTGACGGCTGTTTCCGACATTTATCCCCATGAATACTACCAAAATTTTAAGAAACGAAAGAACGATTCGTTGCACGCGACGCGAATTGCCCGCTCGAAGACGAATCGTCTGCACGAAACGGTATAGAGTTATGTATATATATATATATATATACATAATTCAACAAACATGGTCCTTATGTAAAGCCTTATAACTTGTATTAAAAAAAAACTATTATAAATTTTATCTTGCAACTATCAGATGACATAAGGACGCTGGATGGGAAAGAGACGTAATTATTGTACTTCCTCCTATTTCTCACATAAATCATAGCAGCGAAAAGCATGAGGCGGGATGTTGTCCAAGTACCTTCGTTGTCCGTGATAAACCCTCTTCTTAAAGATTTCCATTCTGACGATCTGTCGTAGTCCTCATCCTCGTTACCGTTTGTAGGCCCTCCGATATCGCCCCTTTCCTCTCGTTCCAGTGGCACGACCGGCGGTGGACCCGGTGACCATGTGTGATTGAATTGCTAAAACAAATATTCGGGGATGAAAAGCTCCGTAAATGGAATCGGAAAAGTACCGGAGCACCGGTGCGATCAATAAAACGCGATATCAGCTGCGTTCGTGTCGAAGGTACAGGTGTGCATGGGTGAACAAGAGTTGCAAATCGTCGTTTGTCAAACTTATAGTGCAAAATGTGTTCGGGCAATAACACCACTGTGCATGAGAGGAAAAAAACACGATCGGAAGTTTAAAAATCTATCTTTTAAACATCGTGTTGTAAAACTCTGTACGAGAATGCATTGCCTCGACTGGTTGCACCCAACACTTTTTCGTTTAACATCTTTTTTTTTTAACCGATAATGCAAAATGCACAATATCAGAATTTTAAAGAGGGTATATCAATTAGAAAATATAAGTCTTGTAATAAATTTATTTCATAATTTTTACGTGCGTATGAAAGACTTCTTGTAAAGAAGAAATAGAAAAGTAAGTTTAATATTTTTTGTTGAAAATTGTTGGAAACATAAATCGAATCCGATGATTTATACATTATTCATACATTATTACAATTATTACAGTGTCTCAAACTTTGCCGAACCAGAATCAATTTCAACTTGGTCAAAGAATCTTATTACGCGAAAAGAAGTAAATGTATATTTTAATTTATTTCTGTAAGACAATCTTAAGATATTTGTGTTTCTTGACATAAATCATTAATTATAGTAATGTAGATTTAAATTAAGTGCATCCAATATTTGCGCTCTAAAATTAATAACAAGTGACATATCCTCTCTTTAATTTGCAGAAGATTTGGCAACGAGATTGTTCTCTTTCTCAGAAGTTCATGCGAATATAATGTAATGCGGTTAAAGACGACTCGTAACTCCGTGTGAGCTTATTAAAATTATTTTTCTTAGATTTATTTGCATTCCGGCACAAGCGACGTGGCCGTAAATTTTTAACGAGCTCGCATTTTGTATGACCAAGATTATGCTTTATCCACCGAGTGCATTGTTCTTACAGCCTCTGGCAAGCGGTACGATGGTACAAAAAGAGCTGCTTTATCGACCGTTTGTATGAGCCTGAAGAGAAGATAAAACCCGCCCATGGCGTTAGTGGTTACTTCTAATGTTCACCGTATCTTTCTCCCTACGTTTCTTGCGCTCAGCGACCATTTCTAGCGGGATTAATTATGTTATCAGATCGGAACATTGTTGAAAATCTCGTTTTACAACCAAAAAAACGTTAACGCTTTAACGCTTAGTTCATGGATAATTTTACAGAAACAAATGATAAAAGAAAATAATAAAGTTCTTAAAAAGTTAAAACTTGAATTGGTATATATATATAAATTTTCAAATTACAATGTTTTAATTTACTTAATTTTAAAGATTGCATTTTCACAAAATGATCTAAAACAGTTAATAAATTATAATATAATATTTCTACATACATATATTCCTTCAATTATTATTCAATTGATACATCAATCGAAATAATAGAAATCTACTTAAATTAGTAAAATTATAGTAAAAATATAATATAATATTTATTAGCCTATAATTATCTTCGAATTGCATCGAGGCATTTAAAAATTACAAGAAATGATTGAATCAAAATAGTGTAAAATTATTTGTTGAAAAATTTAGTGTAGATTCACAATTTTTTCCTGCGAAAAAACGTTTCGCAGCGACACAACGAGCGCGAATTTGCGATGAATGCGTCATCGTTTTCCCAGAAAGTCATTGTCTTGCCCTCGTTTTCACGTTTTTGTCCCTTTTTTTTCGTATTCCCGAGGATGGCACGCGCTGACAGGAAGCGCGGGGAGATAGTCGGTTATCGTTCCGAGATGACGTACCGCCTTCGGAGTGGGCTGCGTGTCTGTACCGCACATGCACCACGTACGGCGATAGAGAGAAAACGACGATACGGTCCTTTTAAAATTTCATTCATCGACAGTGCAGCCGCGAAACGTCGAAAGAACGACCAGCGTAGACGCAAGAAATCACTAAGGCCCAAATCAAATGATAGATCGCAAGCGCGAGAGTTGAAATTTTCTATAGAGTCGAAGCAACCGAGAATTCCAAGAATGTGGCAGGGTCCGCAATTAACAATCACTCGTTCGCCTTTTATTCTCAGACACGAGATTTATTTTAGATATCTCATACAAAATATAGTTCTTGCGATCAAAAATATCAGAGATGGAAACTCTTAAAGTAAAACATCATCCTCGAATCCTGTTTATTATCTTCGAATTTCTTATTTGAGCTGAAGATGAAATACTTAAGAAAAATCTGCAATTTTGAAAACAGACAGCGATGAATCGATCCTATCTCGTAAAAAAAATCGTGTTTAACATTCATTGCAAAGCATGACAAATTAAGATTATCCCTTTTAAGTTATCTTGTATCGTGGGTTAATCTATTCGTTGAACATTAATCTTGGATTACATTCCGTTTCAAGTGAATTTGATCCGTCACGAAGTCCGATGACACAGAGCTTCGTCTCGTACATCACGTGAACAGCTCGCGTCAAAGCGGCATGAAATGTTGTGGATTCTCCCCCC